TTTTTGCATCGTGCATCAACACTGAGCTGCAGGATGATGATGATGATGTGGGGAATCTTGACACTGGCTTTGTGGTCATAAAAAAGGACACTAGTGGGTGCATTTAATGTGTGAGATATGCTGTGTGTAAGTGTTGCCCTTTAGTTGAGATGTTTTGGATTTCATTGTATTATGACATAGATCACAAATCCATCTTGACAAATAAAACTTCATTGTCAGAATTTCCTGCAAGCACTTGAAGGCATCAACCTTGTTTACATTTCAGAACACGCCATGCTCTCCATGTAAACAAGAACACATACACAAATACACAAATGCTCTTGACATAATGACAAGGAATAAATGTAATATCGCATCATTTTTGTTGAACTGGGTTGTCACTGTTCAGAATGTTATGCAACATGCAATAAAACTAACACTGCTTCATTCATGCGGAGACATATCTGTTAAACAAAGGGAGCTGAGCTGTGTCGTAGACTTGAACATTTAGGTCAGACCTGATGCAGCATGTGGTTTTCATCCTGTCTGGGTATTAATAGACGTTGTTTCTTTATTCATGAAAAGGCCTCATCTTGTTTTCAGCTGCCACAGCCATCGAGTTCAGACTGATGATGTCATCACGGGAAACGCCTGCACATCTGTGTCAGTGTGTCCTGGTCTGACTGACTGATCCGCTAACTGTTTTTGAACCAAGTGAAACTTTCACTTTGACCACATTAATCACTGTGTTAGGGTTTTTTTGTGCAGGGTAGAGATTTTAGTTGTTTTTTTTCACTTCATTGTCAGTGAGCACACGCAGCTTAGTGATCCGTCTGCACTCTATGCAATAGAAAGGTTAATTGGAAACCTATTTTATTCATTCCAACGATAACAGTCTTTGCACCAAATTCAAAATATCAAAAGCCTTCAGACTAAATTTGACAGACACTGCAGAAGAAAAGTTAGAGAAAGTGGCTGCAATCATAAGTTTTTGCATCAGGCTCCTTCGACAGATTCACTATAAATAACTTTTCATTTTGGATAAGGGTGTCATGGAAAGGAAATGAGAGGAGACAGAGGGCATAGGGAACAATATGCAACAAAGGTCTCCAGCCCTTAAATGTATGATGCTTCAGTTGTTTAGTTTGCTTAACCTGCTTCTTTGAAACCCGTAATTAATTTGTAGCAGTCTGTTTCTTGACCTTTTTAAACACAATACTTAAACAAAAGACAGAAAAATATCTATTTAATACAACAATCTATCTGCTAACTTATAGTCTCAAAAACCTTCACACATAATTATTTTATATTCAAATGTAATCAATTTATGATGAAAACAGTTTTCATAAATTACTTGCAGACTTTAAATTTCATGCTGCTAATGTTTTTTTTTTTAAACAGGCTGATTTGGTGTAATGATGAGGATATTTGTGTGCGTTTGTATGGTAAAATGTAATATTATATTGTGGAATAACACACACACACACACACACACAAACACATGTATGAACGCATTCAGAGGAAACAGACAAGGCCATTGATTGGCTCTCAGGCTGTTGCTATGGGAATTTAAGCTGCGCTTTCATTGGTCAGGCTTTGGACATGAGCCAACTGCCGGCTGTCTGTCAGCATCCCTTTGTAGTCATGGCAACAGACAGGAAGCAGGTCGGGAGGAGAAGAGCTGTGTTGTTGTTTTTGTTCCTGCAGCTGATCAGACAGTAGAAGAAGAAGCTCTTCCGTCCCTTTTTTTGTCTCTGTGCTTTTTTTTATTTTTTATCTCTGAGGGTTTTTTTTTCCAGTCTGCAAACATAAAAACTGCACGTTTTGATCTGCAGGACAAAATGGCTTAAGGCCTTAACACACACACAAACACACACGGGTTCACTCGGCCACGACCTGGTAATCTTCTTCTGAGAGATGATTATTAATACGACATGTTTGATGAAAATGGGGATAAAAATGTGGAAAGAATGTGTTCAGTGAGTGTGTGTATCTACGTGTGTTTGAGTATTGTGAGTGCTTCTGAATGTGGGTGTAAAGTCATTTTTTGAGCTATTTATCAGCCTCTTCCAACTCACTGTTTTTTTTATGGCTCCATTCTAATGCAAATGATTCTGCCTCAAACACGCACAGTACAGTTTACATAGTTTTCCATAACCTCAGTCATTTGTCTGCAGCAAAGTCAAATTTCCTCATTTCACTTGCTATTGTCTTCTGGCTCAAAGCAGTCAGCACTTTTGCAAGACAAAAGTTGCCAATTTCTCTGTGTGTTGAATGGCTGTGCTTACAACTTTAAAGTTCCTCCTGCTGCGTGAAGTTGAGCTGCTTAGAAACGCCATGATTTGCATGTGAGGAAAGTTTTTTTAATAGAAAATAACAATTTTAGAATTTGACAAAATTAAAAGCATACAACAAATATCTGCATGTGAATGGATAAAGAAGAATTTTCCAGTGACTTAAGAATGATGTTTATCAGGGAAGAAGTTGTTGTCATATTTCAGATCAACTCCTGAATTTGCTTATTGTTGCATCACATTTCTGTTTGTGTAGTTATTAAACAAACAAGATAGAGCATGTTAATAAGTACATTGGTGTTGTTAGTTTGCATATTTCAGAGTCATGAAAGCTGTTTCCTCCTTTTTGCAGTCTATATGCCAAGCTCAACTAGTCCAGACTCAATTCTATAACAAATATCTTAACCTTTATTGCAGGAAGTTGTGACACATCCGAGGCAAAGGTCACACAAAAAAACTTAAGTTAAGATTTAGTACTCGATCTTTTTGCCTGCTTTCCTCTGAAATTGTAAAACTTGTCGGACCAGTTCCAGGCTCTGTTAATGACAATCATTATGATTCACCTCTCCATGACTCAATCCTCTGGGAGAAATGTAACAAGAGACAGGGGGAGTAAAGTGAGTGACGGGTGAGGTAGGAAGGGGAAAAAGTAGAGCAAAGGCATCAGCGAAGGAAGATTCAGTAGGATGTGTGAGAAAAGGAAACAAAGGAAGAGAGAATTAAAGAGGGGATAAGACGGAGCGAGGGATGGGAGAGCTCATGAATATCCAAGCAAAGTTCCCCAGACGAGAGTTGCATAAGCAACTTTGACCCAGAAACCCTACACAGTCAGACTGAACTGAGCTCACCCCGAGATGGAGAGAGCAAAAACAGCCGTAGGGAGGAGGGAGGAGGCGAGGGAAGGAGGTGAAATAGTAAAGTTAGCAACCTTCTCCATTGTTGCATTTGTATTCTGTTTTCTTTTAGGTTTTCTTTGACCTTTTTCTGCACTTTTGACAGTATTATCATTTTTACTCTTCTGTATTGAACAGTACTTTATTGTTCACTGTAGTACACAAACTGTATATAGTATACATACATCTTTATCAGACTTTGCTCAGTATCTCTATGCATGCATACATCAGTGTCTTTTTGAGTAGAAACCATACTCATGCACTGTCTATGTGGGTACTCTTATAGTAGCACTACACCTACATTGTGGTTTGGTTAACTGAGTGAAACAGACTGAGGAGAAGTTAGGGAGGATTTAAAGGAGGACAGCAGGGAAACACAGATTTGAAAGATGAAGGCAGAAGTAAACGGGGTGAAACAAGGAGAGATTTAGCTGGCACGTCAGGAAACACAGTGCCGCTGCAGTTCTCTGACAGATGTAGGTGCAGCAGACGTAAACAAAGAAAACACACAAACAAGAGGAGACACAAAGACGGGGTAAATCCAGACACATTTATTTACAAAGTGCTGGTTACAAAGGAGGTTACGGATGAGTTAACAGGAATGTAAACAAAAAGGAAAGGAGGGCTTTATTGTGTGAGAGAGCTGAGGAAACTTAGGACATAAAGACTGAGGGGTGCAGTTAATTTATACAACAGAAAGTATTCGGACAGGTCTGGGCTTAAAAGGCTCTTTTAAGATAGAGAATGTGCAAGGAACTGTGTCGACAGTGAGAGCTGATGTAGCTTCAAGACAAAAGATGATGACTAAATGGACGTTATTCAGAAACTGCAGACTTCAGAGACCTTCTGAATTATTTCAGATCTTACTTATAGAAAGAGATGAAGACACTTAAAATGGGTTAAAGATGTACAGGGAAGTGAAATAAAACAAAAAAAGATATTATAGATAAATGAATTAAGAGATAGATGAGTGGATAGAAGAAATCTGAATTGCAGATAAGGCACGCTTTAGTTTTCAGGTATGGTAGGTAGGTAAATTATTTTCTACATGCTGAGAGCTGAGGAAGCTTTACAAAACTCAAGGAAGGTAACTCAAGGACCCAGGAAAGAAAGAAAATTACTAATAAAGAAGAAAGCTCCTGTCTGAATTAATAATATTTTTATCTAGTTAATAATGGGAGTTGGGACTGAAGGCGTAATTATGACTGAGAAGAGAGAAAAATGTTTGTTTTGTGAACTATGTGACTTATCGTTCCCTTTAAGTGTCTCCTGAATGAAACACAGAGAGAGAAAGCTGCTTTGATTGCCCTCGTCCACCCATCTCAAACACCTGCTGTTATCTGGGTTATTATTATCCTCTGTTTCCACTGTCGGGATGCCAAACTCTGAGTGTGTGTGTGTGTGTGTGTGTGTGGACTCCAAACAAAATGATTTTACTCTAAGCCACTTTATTAATAGTGTAACAGGTTTTTTTTTTTTTGTTCCTGGCAGGGTTGTTCATCATTTGGATCATGCTGCTGCTTTTTCATGGTTAAGCTGTTTGAATTTTAAGCACTACGCTGCCAAAATGTTAAAGTATGTTTCAAATAATATCATCAGTTGTAAGAGTGATGCCGACCAGTAAAGGCAATTTTTGTAGCATCCAGAGATTTTAACGACACAATTATTTTCAGAGCATTGATTTTTGGAGCAATCAGTGGTGACTATGAAACGTTTTCATGGAGTTGCATGAATGAACATTCAGCAGTCTGATGATTAAGATGGTTTTCATCTTTTCCTTCAGATCTTCCAGTTGCCATTTTTTTTTTTATATTTTCCTCCCTTCTTTCCACAGGAGAAAATATGCGGCTGGGTGGTGCCCCATAACCTCCCCTCTCCCTCGCCTCCCACCTGATCTCCTCTCATCCTCCACCTCCTCTCTCCACCTCCTCTATCCATCCATCTCTGGCATCCTGGTCACCATGGCGACCACCCTGGATACGATGCTGGCCCATCCTGACCAGGAGCTAAGTCCTGAGCGACTGGATGGCTGCGGGGACTCTGTTGGCCGCTACAAGGTGGTTCCCTCTGTGGTCTGCTCCATGTGCTGTCTCTTCGGCATTATTTACTGCTTCTTCGGTGGGTCTGAAGCTTTTTGCACTTTTTAGTGTATTCTCAAAATCTGACCATACAGTTATGCTGCTGTGGTTTCATTTCTTAATTTTACCGTTCCTGTAATGAGGTTTCTTCTTCTGACTTCAGGCTATCGCTGCTTCAAAGCTGTGATGTTTCTGACAGGCCTGATGTTTGGCTCTGTCGTCATCTTCATGCTCTGCTACAAGGAGCGCGTTCTGGACACCCAGCTGAGCGTGGAGGCCTCAGTGGGCATCGGCCTTGGCATCGGCACGCTCTGTGGCCTGGTCACCATGCTGGTTCGCAGCGTTGGCCTGTTTATGGTAGGCCTGCTGCTGGGCCTGCTGGTGGCTGTGGCCACCTTGGTGGGAATGGAGGAGCTGTCCGACAGCCCGCCACGCTCCGTCTGGGTGCCCCTGGGCGTGCTGCTTGGCTTGGGCATGCTGTTTGCCGTGCTCACCCTGCAGTGGCAGCGCCTCTTCACCACAGTGTCCACAGCTATGTTTGGTGCTGCAGTCATCACTGTGGCAGTGGACTACTTTGTGGAGCTCTTTGCCCTCGTGCTGTACATGTATGAGCGAATAAAAGCCGCACCTGGAAAGCCTGTTTGCTGGATAACATGGGTGGTGCTGGGGGTGTGGCCTGCACTCACCCTGCTGGGTGTCATAATCCAATGGAAGGTGACAGCTGAGGGATACTCACATACTAAGGGTGAGGAAAACTGTTCATGTTTAAAAAATAGAAACTAAGTGTGTGTACTTACTGACCTCCCTCTTTCCTCCACAGTCATCATCAGCCGGCAGCAGAGGAGGATGCAGGTGATGAGGATTCGTCAACGGGACGACCGCCATCGTAAGAAGAAGAAGAAGCAGCAGCAGCAGGGCTCCTCCTCGTCCCACAACCAGGCCAAACAGCTACACGTTGAGCCCGCCTACCGACGCAAACCCAACCCAATTCGTCGCTACGACACAGATGTCCTCTCGCCAGTGAGGGGCCTTGATATTTTCTTTTTGTCAGATATTTTTTGTTTGCTGCTGGCTATCATCCTTTTTTTAGCATTGTTTTTAGTTTTTCCTTATTATGGCACTTTCTCTTGAGTTCAGAATCTTTTTTTCATGCTGCCTTCATTAATCCTGCATTGCTTCTTGCCTGTTGTTTTGTAATTCTGTTGTGTTGTCTTTCTCTTTGCACATCCAGAGCTACATCCAGAGTTTCAGAGAACGGCAGGTGCAGGGTCAGCCCTTCCCCAGCCGGCTGGTTGGAGGACCTCACACCGTGGTGGATGTTGGCTATGACTGCGGCTCTTCAGCACCCCTCACTGGAGCTGCAGGACCTTCACTACGGATCTGACCACTCCTTCCACTCCAAGAGGCCTGAACACACCACTTGAAAAGGGAGACACGTGACTACAATCACAACCCCGTGTGGGTGAAATCACACCTGTGTTCAAACAAACCACCACTGGGTTTCAATGCAGTGATTCTTGGTTTAAACATTATCTGGGTTTAGCCACACCCTTAAGAGGAAGAAAACGTATTAATGGCTGGATTTACCCAAAATGCAAAAGTTTATTTTAGTCTTAAGTAAATATATTTGGGTCTCTCTTTGTGGCTTCCTGCTGGAGTCTTCAGTGTGGTGCAGAGGTTTCGTTTACCTCTTTTCACTGACTCTCAGTAGATCAAAATGCACACTTGCTTGCATGCACTTAGACAAACATGAACAGCCGCTACAGTCTTAAGGGTTGACGTAAAAACCTAGAGCAGCCTGCTGTACCCGGCCCCGGTCTGTATGTCACCGGCTTAATTCAAACCGATCAGGGATCGCAGTTTCAGTGCAAACACGCCTCAGGTTAAAACACAGGCATTGTATGAAAAATCTAAATACAACTTTGCCCTAGTCCAGCGTGCTGTCTCCACCACTGTGGTCGTTTTTCAACTGATGCTGCAGAAGCAACTTATTCCTCAGCCCGTAGGGATCTGAGATGTCCAGCAGAGATCATCTATAAATGGAAGTAAGGGCCCTTTTATGAAAACTGGGATCTTTTTATTTGCTCTCTGTGCCATCTGAACAACAAAACTTTTCCTGAAAGAAGGGAGTTGTCTCTAATGTTGTTTAGAGAAACCCTTCTTCACCAATGGTGCTGGACGATGCACTTCCTCAAGCATAAACTGCTCCATGTTGGCTAGGGAATCTGTTTTTAACGGGTGCCTTTCCCCTCTATGGACTGTACCATTCAGCAAAGGGAGGGGGATTACTGGCAGATCCCCCTTCAGTGGCTGGTTTTTGCATTAAATGTGATCACAGAAGGATTTCTCAAGGGGGTAGCCATTGAGCTACAATATGCAGGGTAAAAAAATGAGTTGTCAGCTTGTTGTCGTCACAGATGCCTGGATTTTTGAGGAGAATTTACGTTAAGCTGACAACAAGAAAGCCGTATTTACACTGGCACTCAGCTAAGATTTCACATGACACATACAGAAAGAGATTAAGAGAAATCCTATATTACTTTTTACAACCTGAATTTTATCCCTGAAGTGCAAAATGTTCACCCTTAACAAGATTATTTACATTCCATAAGCAAAGCTATAACACATATTTAACTCCTTCCTTGAATGAATTGAGTTGGCTCTGTTTTATGCTTTAAGGAAATCAAAGTTCCCACAACAATCAATTTTTAAAATCAAGTGGAAGCAAGTGAAAGCCAAAAATTATATACAGGATGGCGACCTTTGTGTAGGCTCAAATCTCACAATTTGAAAGATAATTATATGTTGATTAGAAAATGTGACTTCGAGGGAGAAAATGCAAATGGTTCAGGCTGAGATGCTAGTGTAAATGAGGCTCAGAGGGTGTGAATGATAAATGTGGACTAGTGGCCATACCGACTTGTACTTAGACCGACTAATCCTTCCAACATGTGCATTGATTTTCTTTATTTGGGACAATATAACGTTTTTGTCACCAGTGAAAATGTGAATACTTTGTTATCTTTGACCTTTTTAAAGGAAACACAAGCAAATGTGGTGGGATGGAGGGGATGTGTATGGTTCTTTTTTAAGATTCATCTCTGGGAAACAGAAATGCATGAATTCACCCCTCCGTGCGTCTGCCCCCCCCCCCACCCTTTGTGGCTTCGTTTAAGCCTCCACTGAACTCCCCATGATGTGCATCAATGTGAAATTTGTACATAAAACACAGCACTTACTAACTTTTTTGTTACTTTTATTCATTTCTTTTTTTCATTTCTTAGAAATCTAATTTAATTGAGAAATGTTCTTTTCCTGTGGGATGTATTTATTTACTGATTTATTTATTTCTAGATCCGCTCTGTAAAGGAGAGTGCAATGTCATCACTGTAGGCCGGTAACTCCATGCTTTTTTAAAATTGAATTATGACTATGATTATTAAAGCATGTGTTCCTATGGGCCTGTATACGATCAATGCGTCTGAGTCGTCTTTAAGCTCAAGGACATTTAAACATCAATCAGCTGGAACATGAGATCCACTTCACTTTTATTAGCAAATAATATTTGAAAGTCAGACGGGATTACCTTTCCTGAAAACAAGCCCCCTCTTCTTCTCTCTCTTTTCTTTGTTTCTACCTCGCCACACCTCTTTTCTCTCATCTCTCGCTTCATCTCCGGACGACGTTTAATCTCCTCCTCCATCTTCTCATTTTATCTGTCCTTTCTATGTCCCTTTATTGATAAGCTCAAACACACACACACACACACACACATACAGATCATCGTATTTTCATTATAAATGCTCCTGATTGAATATAACTCTAAACTTGACAAACACGGCAAAAGCTGCCGTTTACAAAAAAAACAAACGAAGACTGCTAATATTCATGTTACTTTTTTCTTTTTTGACATTTAATTCAAGAGGCAGTGTACGCAGAACAAAATTAGGAGGCTGTCTGAAATGCTCCAACACTCTTCGAGTCTTTCTTAGATGCAAAAATGTTGTTTTCATGTAGTGCATCCAAAGCCAGCTCCATACAGGTTTTTTGTACCCGGCTAAAAGCGGAGATAAAGAAACCCCCATCCTGCTTCATATTCACTTAGTTACCTCCAAAAAAAACCAGTGCAGGCCATAATAATTACTTTTTACAGTCATGATTTTTTCTGGTTTAATTTGTGCATCTTTTCTTGTTTGTGCTCTCCGCCTCTCTGACTCAGTCCAGGACAGATGTTTCTCTTTGTTTCTTCTTCTCCTCTCTTGATCTTCTGCAGATCCTTACATGATGTCTTGCTGGTGCTGCGTCGACTCGCTTACAACCTGCAGGGCAGAAACACAGCAGTCATTAGATATTCAGAGATATAGAAAATACACTGTGTGAGAGTCAGCAGAGTCAGTTTCTTTATGATAGAACATCCTCATAACAAGCTGGCTACTGATGGAAATATTTGTAAACTTCATACTGCAATGTGAGTTTTCTTTTACTTATTCCAAAAGCACAAGAGTTTAACGTGTTGGGACATTGAAAGGTTTCTTTATTTCAAAAGGTAGCAAAGTAAACAGCTACATGTCATCAACAGTCAAAGTCTGCAGAGCTGCACAGCAAGGTGGTGATTTAAAACCTAGTGATACAAATTAGCTTTTATTGAATATAAAAGAGCAACCAGGACCTGTGTCAACACGTCTGTGATGTATGTATTTCCAGGAAACTGTGGGTGTAGTGTGTTTCCACTCAGGTGGGACAGGATGTTTGGTTGAAGGTGGCACACTGTGAACTAGTCGCTGCATGTGTGTGGGGGTGTTTACTTGGAAAAGTCACGAATGCCTTCTTGGTGATATGAAAACACAATGTGTTTGTACAGATAGGACTCACAAATGTAGCTTGTGAAACGCCAGAAATTGACACATCACCAAAATTCCAGCATTTCCCTTTAACAGGACAGGACATAAGGAGGTGTAGACGTCGTGTCCAGTTTTTATTTTAGACTTTGTATTAGATATAAGATTAACTGTAAACTCTGAATTTACCTTTAGTCTTTCTACATCTCCAAACAATCTGAAAAGGAAAGATCTTAAAATCAAATCAGTAGATCTGTACATGCTGTGTTTTACCTCTCCATCACGGGTTTCGATGGTCTTGATGAGGACGGTTTTCTTTGAATGCGTCTCAGAGGAGCGCTGCTGGTGCTCGGGGCTGGTCTCTGTTTAAACACAGTGAGAAAATATCAACTTCAACATGACACAAGTCTTCCCAGACATCATTTTTCCTATCATGTTATGAAATCAGGACGCCATGTGAGCACTACATTTCTGTCGCATAGAAATGATGGCTCATTGTGTGTCGAACTCCATGTGGAGGTGAACTGATTTGTGGGTTGGTCCCATAGACTGAATCATTTTTGGTACAGACTCCAGACTTCATATATGTTGTAGAGAAATGTGTCCTCTAGTGGTGTGTTCAGGGAACAGCAGGTGTGTTCTTACCTCTGAAGCTCAGAGTGGAGTAGCTCTGCACAGGCAGGGTAATCCTGCACGGACAGAAAGAGAAGTGTTGAAAACAGGATGCATTATAAATGTAGTTCTTAGTTATTATTCTGTTATGATGAAACGTTTTTGTTTCAAGGCCTCAAAATTGATAGAAAGTGGAAAAACAACATAACTGCAGCATGTGGAGAAACGTTTTTTCAGTCAAAAACGTTCAGTAAAAAAATGATTTTACAGAAAATATACAAGTCAGTTAGAACTTAAAGACCTTCTTGTATAAAGATACAACTTAATAAATCAACATTTAAGGCTCAAATGAAATTAAAAAGTGAAAAAGTTTCTGTCTCTTTGTTGCATTAAATCTGAAATTACATCCTGATCAAGCTTTTTTATTTACAGGAGGATTTGCCTCCAGCATCACCTGCTCTCCTCCCCTTCCAGCAGCTTCCTGTAGGTGGCGATCTCCATGTCAAGGGCCATCTTGATGTTAAGCAAGTCCTGGTACTCTCGAAGATGGCGTGCCATCTCATCCTTCATGTTGGCGATCTCTGACTCCAGCCGTGCGATGGTGTCCTGGAAACCACTCGCATCCCGTCCATGGCGGTCCTCCATGTCCCTCATCTGCCTCATCAGGGACTCATTCTGGGTTTGACAAAGAGAAACGTGTGACATAAGTGTTTGAAATGGATGAGGCACAGATTCATTGTATAATCTTTGTGTGTCAGAGACGTACAGTGCCTTTGAGGGAGTCAATCTCGCAGGTGTAAGCCTGGATCTGGTGTCTGAACTCCATGGTCTCCTGCCGGGCCTGCTTCAGGGCCTCGTTGTTCTTACTCACTGCCTGGTTCAGGTCGGTCACCTGAAGTGATAAAGGTCAAGGTCAGTTATTCCTGGAACTACAGCTTACACCACTGGGAAATAAAATAATAAAAATAAAATCCCCAATGTTGTAATGTTAACAGTCCCTCCATGTTTCACCTTTGACTTGTACCAGTCCTCAGCCTCTGCGATGTTCTTGGCAGCAATGCCCTCGTACTGGGCTCTGATGTCTCTCAGTGCTGCTGTCAGATCCGGTTTAGACATGTCCATCTGGATCTGCACCTGAGTCTCCTGCATCTGAGTCTGCAGCTCACGGATCTCCTGCAGGAGGATGAGGAGGAGGAGCAGGTGAGACAGAGGTTAGAGCTGTTGGTGGTTTGTGGGGATTTATGTGTGTGTTTGTTGTCTCCAGAGAACAGAATAGATTACAGGGATTAGGTTTGTATACAGAATCATTGCCAACCAGTAACAACCAGAAAACCATTATTAACATAGGAACCAGTCGGTATTTATCAAAGTTAGTTTGAAATTCATGAATTGTTCACACATGTAGTCAAATGTTGATGGAACCAAGCTCAAACTGGTCTCTTCAGACATCTTATGCAGCACAATATTTTTGGATCCATCCTGTAGCCACAAGGCACCACTCAGCAGCTGTGGTTGCTGAATTGTAATCACTCTGTGAACACCTGATAGCAGCCCTGTAGAAGCTTGCAATTACACTGCAACAACCACTTGGCATTGTGTCGCTATCACAGGGAAGTCTCGAGGCTACGAAACACTCACAAACTCACGTTTACTTTTGCTCTGAACATTGCACTGACTTAAATTCATTTCCTGGAAGCTTGCCCAAGAAATAGGATTGACAACTGACCCAAAAACCAGCTTTATTCCTGCATTTGCCCACAATTAACTGGTCTTTGGTCAGAATTGTGCCACTGAGAGAAGCTTAGTCAGGAACACACACACACACACACACACACACACACACACTACAAAGCTTACAGTACAAGCCAGTGTGGTTCAGAGACGAGGATGTCTTGTGTTGATACAACGTTTAATTTTAGCTGTACAACTGCTGCGTGAGATTTCAGTGCTCTGCTGCAAAACTGTACAGGCCCACTGCCAACCAATCCTCTTGTGTTGTCATCACAAATACACTCAACTATACAAACTCAAACGAATGTAACAACACACAGACAGATGAGCCAAACACAGAGAGCACGTAACAGACAGAAAAGACAAGACGGAAACATGCTCTGTGAATGTGTTTCTTTCATGGCCTCACACCAAATATTTAAAGTTACATGTTGCACTGTTCCATAAGTTATCTCAATTAACTTGTTGAGATCGCTCAAATATATTAAAGTTAGAGTTTGTGCCTGTTTGTTGTCAAGATGTGCTTATGAATCCTTCAGAGAGAAGGAAAGAGAAAAAGAAGGAAGAGAGAACCTCTTCATGGATCTTCTTCAGGAAGGCGATTTCCTCCTGCAGCGTCTCGATGCGTCTCTCCAGGTCCAGGCGAGCCAGAGTGGCAGCATCCACATCCTGCAACAGTTTGGTGAATTAGTTATGTTGTTTTAAAACATCTAAAGTCAGGAGAGCAACCCTTGGTATGATCTGATTTGGTGAAGCAAACATTTAACCGGAGTACTTGAGGCCTTTATGAAGTACAAAGTGAAGTGCATTAGAGACTCACCGCCCTGAAAGCAGCCAGGTTGTTTTCTGCATCTTCTTTCTCAAGGATTTCTTCCTGAAGTCTGGAGCGGATAAATGCAAAATTATTATTTTTAGAACATCACTAAAGAAATGGTTATAGTATTCTCGGCAGCTTTGATCCTGAACATCATTTAAAAATACATTTTAAACATTAGCTCGAACCATCTGCACTGTGATGCCAAAGACAAAAGTTGACACAACTATTTCTGTTGTAATAAAATCTCTCTTGTAAAACCAGATGGGTTTTAATCCTCTTTTGCACTGAACAGATGCTAGTCTTATTTATTAAGCCATGAACGCATCCTTGAATCAAAATGCACTGATAGGTCAAAGAAGAATATCCATATTGAATCCATTAAACTCCCCTGAATAAACCTCTGCACAGAAACCTTAAAATATAAAGGAAATAAAACCAGGATAAAAGCTCTATTTTTTTTTTAATCTGAGGGAAAATGTTTTAATCCTCATGATGGAGCTTTCATTGATCATCATAATCCTAACTTGTATTCCCCCTTTCTCCCTAACTCTTTATAAAACTGGCACTTAAGATGTAAACCACAGAGAGAAGAAGAGAAAGAACAGATCATTAGACGTCCTGCAGATATGTGGGAGCGCTTTCCTCTCCTTTTATAGTAAAGCACACTGTAAACATGCTGTGTGTACACTCTTCATATTGCCCCACCCACCTTAGTTTGATCTTGTCCAGGTCGTCGATCAGGTTGTCTCGCTCCACCTCTATGCGTGACCTCTGATTGGTCAGGATCTCCACCTGCCTCCTCAACTCATTCATCTCCTCCTCATACAGGTCGGCGATGCGTGTTGGCTCACGTCCACGCAGGCGCTCCACCTCCACAGACATCGCCTGGTTCTGCTGCTCCAGGAAGCGGACCTTCTCGATGTAGCTGGCAAAGCGGTCGTTCAGGTGTTGCAGCTCGGCCTTCTCGTTGGTCCTTGTGGTCAAGAACTCCTGGTTTAGGGCATCAGCCAGGCTAAAGTCCAGTGTCTCACCCATGCCTGCATAGGTGCGCCCCACTGAGACCCGGGAGGCCCCCACAGGCTTCCCGTAGTAGCTGGAAGACACCCGGTAGGCTGGTGTTGAGCTGGACCGGGTCACCTCATAGACCCTGGAGGTGGCATGGCCCCCACCGCTGCCGGCATGGCCCAGCATGGCGCGGTTGAGGGAGGGTGAGGCATAGCTGCCATGGCCAAAGTGTCTGCGGTAAGAGGAGGCTGTTTGGGCTGAGGAGCTGAAGGCGGCCATGATGGAGGACTCAGGGAGCCTGGTGAGGGCTGCAACAAAGGAGAGCACTGAAGAAGAACTAACTATCCTCAACTATTTGTAGACACCCCCTCCCTCACTTTTTGACGCCTCCCCCCGATGAACTTCCCTCCCTGAGTTGCTCTAGACCTCCTCTCTCTTCCTCTGTCTTTGTCATCTATCTATCTTTTCTTTTTTTCTTTTTTCTGAACTCTTTGTGACTTTCCTCTTTTTTCTTCTAATAGAAAACTTGATCATCAAGATATCAAGATATTAACCTTTTGGTTCTGACCCGACACTTGGTGACAAGAAAGGAAGAAAATGGGGGAAAAAAAACAATCACAGCATTGTACTTTAATCAAGCCTCTATCGCTCCACAAAGACTGCTGTGTCTCTTTCCCCAGTGCCCAGACCCAAAATTGATTACTTCAGAAACCTGCATTGCAAAATTAGTGCGGTTGAACTTCAAGTACTCTCTATCCAATGCCAAGATTGTGGTCTCATTTAGATAAAAAAGCAAACTGTGGATTCTGGCACAGTGCTTATGTCAGCATGGCCATTGTGCTGAGTCTAAACATCTTGAAATGTGCTCCAAGAAGATCAGTGTAGGTGTTCAACTTAGTGTTATTATGACAGTATAGAACAACAAAGAGTAATTAGAGCAACCCGGAAGTGAACAGATTAATTCTATTGCATTGCACTGAAACAAAAGTTGCACCATGCAGGTTAAACTTTAAGCATGACCCAAACTGTTCCTCGATGTTAGCCAAGAAGTTTTCATCCCTCAACTTCACCAAATGTTTGAGATGTCACAATACTCGTGAATGAACAACCTGTTTACATAAGAGGACCTGTGGAATCGCAGAGTGTCATGAGAAAGTCTCCTGCTTCTGTGATCTCACTTCCTAACAATGTGAGGATGCAGGGATGGATGGTGTCTTCTAGAGCTTTTGTATCTTCCTCACATGGTGAAGCTGTGCAGGTTGTTAATGACAGCATCTGCGGGGGGGGGAGCTTTGACAAACCTGCCTTAAAAAGGAAAACTATCCCACCCTGTGCGACAGAGAGGTACAGCATGTGCCTGCATGCACTCCCACAGCAGTAGAGAGCTGCACTTCCAAACAATATGTGCTACTTATGATGATAACACAAAGGTATGCCAGCAGACACCAGACTCCAAGATGCTCTGGGTTAAAATCAGCCGCTGGTGAAATTTTGAAAGGCCAAAGATCACTTTTATAACAAGAGGATAAGCTTTCAGATGCTTTCATTGGTGCAGTTTTATTGATCATATCTTACAGAGATAAGGAAAATAAAACATTTAATCAATTTGGACTTGATTCAAGCCACCTATTTTTTGAACCCACCTGCCCACTGGAATATCTTATTCAAAACAGATTGAATGGATATAAATAGATGAATTGGCTTGAAGGACAAACGTGTTGCTCAGTGAGAGAAATGTGATGCACATTACAATTTCTTTACATTGTATAACATCGCTTCCTTATGAGTCATTTCCTCTTGGGCCAACTGGAGACTAAAAATGTCTTCAATCTTGCAGCAATTAAGAGTTATGAGACGTATCTTATTGCTGTCGCCAAGGACTACACAGGTGTTACTGATCCCTTTAATTAATGCTGCGGTATGTTTCAGAGGTCAGGTTCCACAGTCAGCGCTGTGCTCGGCTACTTACTGCAGTTATTAATGGAGGATAAAACAGGGGAGCCATCGTTAACGTAATTAATAACACCTGTGTCAAGTGTCAAAAATCCACTCCAGTAAGGCCTCATACTTTCTCTCTGGGTGCTCTATAACAAGATTTCAGTCAAATGAGTATTTTAGGTTGCTTCTTCTGATTGCAACCTTTTTAGATAGTAGGTAACTTTAGGTAGTTCAAAGGGTAACACCAGAGCACCTGAAATCCTTGATTTATGGATGAACTTTTCACCTGTGTGCACTGATGTAAAGTGTACTTCAGTGTGTGTGTGTGTGTGTGTGTGTGTGTGTGTGTTAGTATATTGTGACTTCACCAACATCAGAAGCTGTTTGTGGTTAAGAGCTCTACAGATAAATCAGCACTAAGGCTCCAAGAAAAATAAAGCAGCAATAAAGCTAAATTGAACATTTAGTAAGACCTGGTCATTTATTTTTAACACAGGATAGTTCCTTTACAATGCATAAATATATCTTGCCAGAGATCACTCCTGATTTTTGCAATGTGAGAAAGATTTGTGTTGTCTGCCTGTGTTAATTATTTTTGTGATAACCTCACATATTCTGACTGTGATTAAAGACTACATGGTGGACTCTGCAGGACATATTGGCTGGTACTGTGAGGGAAAATAAAAGGTCAGATTTCTGAATAGCTAGTCAACAATCCTAGTGTGTTCCAGCATAATAACAGAACAGTAGGATACTGGTGTAATTCCCAGCATGACAACATTCAACAATCCCATTGCTGCTCCTCTAATAAAGTCTGTTGCTCTCAACCCTAATAATAGAGTGTGTGTGTGTGTGTGTGTGTGTGTGTGTGTGTGTGTGTGTTTGTTCCTTCATCACCTGGGTTTTCTCAAGAACAGAAGCGACTCTGTTAGCTGACACCAGGAGTAAACATCTCTTCATCACTTTCAGGTTCTCCTCTCAGTCTCCCCCCCGCCTCCTCCTTCTCCTCCCTTGTTGTTTATGACCATATATGGCTGGTTCCCGTGGTGATGATATATTGATAAATGGCTGCATGTGGGGAACTAATATGAGTGAGTCAGAGATGAAAAGGAAAATAAAAATGGGCAATATTACTGTAAGCATGATTTGGCTGAAATCAAACCTTGCTCATCACTGGTAATGTCAACATCACACTCCACTTAGTTTGGGCCTTGAGTCGGCCACTGGTGCCACAGTTCAAACTCAAGAAATTAAGTTTAGGAAAAATAGAAAATGCAGGTCCTATCCTCCCAATGAAGACTGCAAGAAGATCATAATACACTTTTGGATTAAATAATAATGGTCCTGAATATAATTACATGTAAATCTTTCAGGGGTTCATGGGAGAAAAAGAGACAATCACATTTTAGCTCGAGGCAGCATGATCAAACAATAAACCAGTCAGAAGCTATTCATGTGAGCGCTGTTGTTTTGATTTTAGCCATTGTTTGAGTCCTCTGTTGAAAGAATTACTGTTGCTCTCTAATTTTATGCCAGTGGGCAGAGAGTTCCAAAGTTTTGCCCCCTTTGCAGAGAAAGCAGACTGGCCAAAAAATGTCTTGTACATTGGGACAAGACAATCCACCGCTGATGGAGGCTCATGTGACTGCCCTACGAGAGCTCTGACGCCTAATGGCTAATTCAGATAACAGTGGTGACACATGATTATTTACACATTTAAAAACAGTTTAAGATTACTAAAATTCATAAAATTGTCAAAGGTGAAAAGTTTTTTTTTAAATGCCACAGTGATGCCATCTCATTTCTGGTCTATGACTTTTATTGTCTGCTTATATAAAGAAAAAATAGGTTTATGAAATGTATATAGTGCAACAACAACATAAATATTTATTTTAAAAGTGATTCAAGCAAAAAATTATCTAAGGCAATAGTTATTCTGAAAAAAATGGATATTTTTAAAAGGTAATTGCACCGCCTGGCCGCTGGGTGTCACTGTGGGGACAGCGCCTGAAAACTACGTCAGTTTCTTCACTGCTGTTGTCAGCTAATCTGTATCTGTCTGTCGTTACTTCTCCGTTTCTCTGGAGTTCAGAGTTTGAAAGTCCACTTAATGCAGGTAAGTGTAATAAATATGAGTATTGTAAGCGCCATATGAGGAAATATTTCTCCCTTGCCGAGAGCTACTTTGACTTTGACCAGCAGAGGAAGAGGAGAGAGAAGAGCCAGGTAGCTCGTGTTGTCGTCTTCAGGTTAGCTGGCGAAGCTCTGCTAACTACCGGTGCGCCCATTGTCGGACAAGTCTACTTTTGACACTGTAAATTACATGTTACGGGAAAATTGAAGGGGCATGTTAGTTCGTCTTGTTAGTTTCTATCTGTAACATATGAAAGAGTAGAGAAAAGCTTCGGAGACTTCTGCTTTTTCCCCCTGACAGTCTTTGATCATGAAGAGCTCCAAAGAGGCCGTGCAGTCTGCAGCCAAAGAGTTCCTGCAGTTTGTCAACAGAGGAGTGTCTCCATACCACGGTACAGTCTTTAAAAAGATTATTTACAAGAACGAAATGTACACAATCCTTAAAAAGTATATTTGCACATGTAAAAGAATGAGGAAATACACTTTTTGCATGAGCTACAAGATGGATTTGAGTGTCTATATTTACACTAAGTTTATTTAAATACAGTTTGAGACAAGCCTGCAGACAGGATTGAGTCAAATACATGCTCAAAATAAATCTTAAAGCCTAGTGGTAAATGTCATCGTGTCATTTATTAACTTAAATCTCACAAACATTACAATAATAGACTAGAATAGAATAAAATATAATTACTTTATTGATCCCAAACTGGGAAATTGTGATGTTACAGCAGCAGGTTATCCAAACACACAATATGAGTAAAAAACACAATATGAGCAAATTTAAACACAATATAATATTAAATACAAAGTAAATACGTACTAAAAATATCAAAACTAAGAATGGGAATATATACAACCAGGATTTAACTAAGCATTACTAGTCTTAAATAGGAAGATTAAATATGAAAGATTAAATGTAAATGTGCAAAAACAGAGTCATAAATGGCTGTAAATTAAATATGAAAGATTAAATGTAAATTAAATATGAAAGATTAAATGTAAATTAAATATGAAAGATTAAATGTAAATGTGCAAAAACAGAGACATAAATGGCTGTAAATTAAATATGAAAGATTAAATGTAAATTAAATATGAAAGATTAAATGTAAATGTGCAAAAACAGAGACATAAATGGCTGTAAATTAAATATGAAAGATTAAATGTAAATTAAATATGAAAGATTAAATGTAAATTAAATATGAAAGATTAAATGTGAATTAAATATGAAAGATTAAATGTGAATTAATTATGGAAGATTAAATGTAAATGTGCAAAAACAGAGTTGTAAATGGTTGTAAATTAAATATGGAAGATTAAATGATATAAGTTACTGAATATATTTATTGAAGCTAAATCCAAAATCCAGATGATCTCTCCTTTTTTTTGTGGTTTTATTATAAAGTCAGATTAATAGTTCCGACAAGATAGCAGGTTGTGTTTGATAAAAAGACTTTCATAATCTGCCAGCTTTCTGATATGAAGTTTCCAGTGTGAGAACAAAGAGATCTGCATGTCTCAGCAGAAAGAAGGTGTGAAGCAGAGACACTGTTCAGGTTAACACACGACTTTGAGCTTGAGATAAGATAGGATCTCTGCAGATGATGTCTCAAACCTTTGCACTGTGAACTCTGGCGTTCTGCAGATTGTACAGCAAAGCAATTAAAATGAATTGTTGAATTGATTTGCAATAAATAATAAATAAGCTGCATAACTGATTCAAGAATTTGTCCTGGATATATTAACAAAGCACCTGTAAGTGAATGTTTTTACATCTTGACGGTAGTATGATTAACAATTTTGAAATAACTGATTATTCTTCAGTTGCTGCTTTTTAAAATTTAATATAACTTAACAGAAAAGTCAGAGAAGCTTACTTTTTTGTCTGCTTTTTGCCCCTTTAGTGGTTGAAGAATGCAAGCGGCGTCTGTTGGCTGCGGGCTTCACCGAGCTGAAGGAGTCAGAGAAGTGGAACATCGAGCCGTCCAAGAAGGTCAGTCAGGGTTCATGGTTCTGTGTTAATAGTTCATGGGAGTTAAGAGTCATATGATCTAGTCTGTGTCTTAGATTTAGCAGTCATTTTAATGTGTATTTTTTCTAGCCAGAAAGTTCAGTTTATTAATCTGTTTGTTAATTAAAATTCCATCCCCTGCTTTCTTCAGTACTTTGTGACCAGGAACTATTCCAGCCTCATCGCCTTCGCTGTGGGTGGACAGTACCTTCCAGGAAATGGCTTCTCCATGATCGGAGCCCACACAGACAGCCCCTGCCTTAAGGTGAGAGCCGACCCACTTCCATCCGTCAATCACAGTCTGCCTCTGGACATTTCTTGAATCCCTACGAAGCAGCCAGAGTGCACGAGAACAAGCCTCAAAATCCTCTGCAGCCAAACTGCCACAAAACTGAGCAGAAGTGAAAAATATGTCAGAGGAGATGTGCTTACGGGTCCTGATGTATTCAGCAGGTGTTTGTTATCCTGTCCAGTATTTTGTGATGTTTTTCTCACAGATTTGTTTATAACATTTAATCAAGGCCCAGAGAAGAGCACAAAATAATTCTAATTCAATTACAAGTAATTGATTAAAAGATGTTTCAGCGTCTGTCTTTAAACGTAAAAATGTCTGAAAAAAAAATTGTGTTTGAATGTTTTATAATCTAGAAGTTTCAGAGTCAGTGATTTATTGGATTATAAAACTGTTTCAGGTGAAGCCGAGGTCTTTGAAGACAAAGCAGGGATGTCTGCAGGTCGGAGTCGAGTGCTACGGCGGCGGCATCTGGAACACATGGTTTGACCGTGACCTTACCATTGCTGGCCGCGTGATGGTCAAGGTAGGCGGAGTATTGTTTTTCTTGTCAGGATTTCTTCTGAAGAACAGTTCAACACAAGCTCTGTCAAATCTGTTCGTTTTAGATGATGGCGTTGAAGAATTTTATGAGCCAGATTTTGTTTTGAGCAGGTGTTCCCCTCTCCTCATCCTAAGAAATAATATGTATACGTTTGTCCTCCTGCAGAGTGACGGCAGGATGCTTCATAAGCTGGTTCATGTGCCAAGACCTCTGCTCAGGGTCCCTAACCTCGCCATCCACCTACAGAGGGACGTCAACGACTCCTTCGGCCCAAACAAGGAGAACCACCTGTCAGTCAATGCAGATCTTTGATCACCATTTTTATACTCTGAATACTAATTGGAGAGGAAATTGATATACACACATGAAGCATAAAAAAATCTGAAAACATTTGGAAAACAAAATCTTTGTCTTTAGAATCTTTGAATTTAGGAATCACAGGATTAACTATAACTAGCCATCTTTAAGATGTGTTTTGTAGCTCAGTTTGAAATATTAGTTTGTGCTATAATTATGTTGTGTGTCACAGCGTGCCCATTATCGCCACGGCTGTCCAGGAGGAGCTGGAGACGGGCTCTGTGTCCTGTGGAGACGCCTCCTGTGCAACCAAGACGGTAAAAGAAACAGTCACACACGTCGATACTCTGACATTTGGGTTACAACATATAACACAAAATGACTTGTATAAAATTAACAACATTGAATATGAGAACTATTTCTTGCTTTTTGTTGCCTTTGGTCTGTCTTTTATGTTCTCTTTTTTACCCTTCATTTTTTTAATGCTTCATCCTCCCACACACCACATGGCCTCAAAACTCACAGGATAATTCACTAGTTATTTTGGCTTTGTGGACAGACGGGTCAGTGATGCGTGATTTGCATCAAAGGGACAAACACCAAATTATTGCTAAACTTCTTTGTTGTCTATGAAAAAGTTAGTATTCCTGTTCTAAAAGTGTTGGATAGTAAAATGTTTTGATAACATACTGTATGTGTGTACATCAAAATTACAAAGTGAGGGAATGGAGAAAGGTGAGAGAATTTAAATCAGGATGAAACACCACATGTTGTTTATTCCTTCTCAGGCAGAAAAACACCACCCGGTGCTGGTGAAGGTGCTGTGTTCAGAGCTTGGCATTGCGCCTGAAGCTCTGCTGGACTTTGAGCTGTGTCTGGCTGACACTCAGCCTGGGGTAAGTAATCTATTGACTTCCTGTCACTTTTTAGCGTCCAGTTGACCACTTTAAACAGCATCACTCTCAATCAGACTATCATTTTATAAATATGACAAAACCTGGTAAAGAAGAAAACATTCCAGACTCTGAACCTCTGGTATTTCTGTCCCTTATGTTCTTCTTCTCTTCTCTCTGCAGGCGCTAGGAGGCGTGTACGAAGAGTTCATTTACTCTCCTCGTTTGGACAACCTCCACAGCTGCTACTGCGCCCTGCAGGTCAGAAACCATACAGAATCAGATTTTTTTTTTTGTTGTCTTCTTTTGACCTTTAGTGTCTTGTTCATAAAAATGCTGACACACCACCACTTACTTCATACTCCATTTCGTTTTGTCCCCCAGGGCCTGGTCGAGTCCTGCTCCGGAGACTCTTTGGCCAAAGATCCCAACATCCGCATGATCACTCTGTACGACAATGAAGAGGTGGGTGAGGTCGAATCAGAACCAGTTTGAGATATGTGATGGGGAACAGTTTCTGCTTGGAGTGCTGTGTCTGCTGTCTCTCAAACAGATGTTGTTTTTTGGTTTACTCTTGAACGCACAGTGATGGGTGATCATTGGAGTGAACAACAGGAGGGAAAAGAAAATCCTACATACAGTTTGTTATAATCTGTAAATGCTTCACATTAACAGACTTTGTGTTTCCTGTAGGTCGGATCAGAGAGCGCTCAGGGAGCTCAGTCAAACCTGACGGAGCTCATCCTCAGCCGCCTCGCCGCCTCCTCCTCCAACCTCACCGCTTTTCAACAGGCAGCGCCGCTCTCCTTCATGATCAGCGCTGACATGGCACACGCTGTGCACCCCAACTACATGTCAGTGTCAACGCACACACACACACACACACAGCTGCCCATTACCTCAGCCGATTGTGAAGTTATTTTAGCCTTAAATGTTGAGTAATTTGAAGTTTGTTTTCAATAGGAAATTGTTCTTAAATCAGCTGTTGCCTGAGTTTTAACTGGTTAGTTGCCTTTTATAAGATATTGTAATGGCTGGTTAGGGTTAGAGTCATAATCCTCCAAACTCACAGCCCGAGTTCGAGTCCAACCTGTGGCTCCTTTCCTGCATGTCATTCCCAAGCGGCAACCTCTGGTCTTGAATAATTAAGCCAATGCGGAAGTATAACATCCTGTAGTTCCTCAAGTGTCCACTAGAGGCTGGCTGCAGGAACACCGGAAGTCACGTACACACAACAGGCAAAAATCGTTTTTACAGCATAAATTAACATGTTTACAGCCTAGTACTAAAAAACTAAATTGGTCTCAGGCTTCATCCATTAATATTAACAGTCTATGGTCATTCCCCACTGTCTCTCTCTCTCCCTGATTTCTGACTCTATCCTCTCCTCTATCTTTAAATAATGGCATAAAAAGCCCCAAAATAAACCTAATTGTCATATAAGATATTTTAAAAAGCATGAATGTTTAAAAAAAACATATTAACAGTGAAAACACAAGAACTAAGACATGATACGTTTCATGCAGATTGTTTCTTGTGTTAGTAGGAAGGTGCAGCTGTTCTCAATTGTTGCTTTATTTTATATTTAAAATTCCACTTTAAAGAATTGTTAGTAGAGCTGGTTTGTGTTCATCTTCTTCTTAGGGAGAAGCACGAGGAGAACCACCGACCAGCTTTCCACAAGGTAAGAGTATTAGTTGATTTATTCTTTCATTTAAAAGGGACACAAACAGACGTACATTTTATCATTTGGAAAACTTTTCTTGAACTTGAATATTTGTGTAAGCTTTATTTCAATGCAGCAGATCAGTTAGATTTGATTGGCTAATTTCTAACTTAATGAATCGACTCCCTAACTTGTACATTAATTGAGTAAATATTGGTTTAAAAAAAACGTATGTATTTGACTTTAAGGTTTCTGACTTCAGTGATACTCAAACAAAAGATTTTTTTAGCCTCTAGTTTTGACGCAGAGTTCATGAAATGTGGTGGGGAAAGATTATTTTCCGAAAGCGGGACAAAGCGTCCCGACTCAGCCAGAACATTTTCGTTAATTTCATCTGAGGTGGTTTTAATGAAGTAAAATGGAATCAACCTTCACATAATTTTCTCTCAGGGCCCAGTGATCAAATTTAACAGTAACCAGCGCTACGCCACCACGGCTGTCACCGCCTCCGTTGTCAGAGAGGTCGCCAGCCAGGTCGGCGTGCCCCTGCAGGTACAGTGTGTGTGTGGGTGTGAAATTATGGATGAATTGTTTGCAGACTGAGGCTTAGTAGCGTCTCATTACTTGGTGTTTCTTGAGTCACTTGGCAGCTAATACAGATCTCCTAGCAACATGTTGGGCTGCTCCAGGACGACACAGAGAGGAGAAGAAAAGAATGCATGTGTGAAATAAAGAACAAAAGACTCTAAGTACGACTATAAAACTCATGTAGAAAGGCTAGAAACATGTTTTATTTCCAAGGAAGCAGATATAGTTTGTTCTATACGAAAATGTTTCCTATATGGTTAGAGAATCAATTTATTTAGTGTGATCAAATTTTAAATATTGTTTAACCTCAGAATAAAAATCGTTTACAAGCAGCTGTCAGGATCCTCATCAAACATCAGATACATGACATAAACACGTTATACTACTCTGAGCAGATCTGTGCCGCTTGTGTGAGATTCAGGTGTACCTGTTGAAATAAACCTGCATTGAGTTTTTGCTCCTTGTAGTTACACCTTAATGTTTCTGATTTCAATCAAGATACTTTTCGACATTACCATAGTTTAACTTTCATTTAATTTCCTGTAGTTGCTTCCTGCACATTGAGGCACTACTGAAGAGAGGAAATTACTTGATAAGACCTATTTGTGGTTTGTAGACTTTGCAGTGCCTCCTAAAGGCCACTAGATGGCAGATAGGAAGACTCCAGATGTGTAAAGATTTGCTGTTTAGTACATTTTCATCAATTTGACATTTGAGCCCTCCTCCTGCAGGATGTGATGGTCCGTAACGACAGCCCATGTGGAACCACTATCGGACCAATCCTGGCCGCCCGCCTCGGGATCCCTGTGATGGACATAGGAGCTCCGCAGCTCTCCATGCACTCGATCAGAGAGATGTGCTGCACCTCCAGCGTCCTGCAGAGCACCACACTCTTCAAGGTAACCCCCGTCTGTGAAACAAACATACCTTCTCTCTCAGCATGACAGCAAAGGGATTGTTGTTGTTTTCTGTAAATGTGAGGACTTGCAACCTAAGAAGACTTGGAGAGGACAGATCCGAAGAGAGGGTGACCATGCATGACCCAAGATGAGAGTCATTCTCAGGCTGGCTGCTTTTACTTCTTCGTGCATTTCAATCTATAACTGTTGGAATTGCTAATATGCAAATTTACTAAAATTCTCACAAAACAATACTTTAAATAGTCCTCATCAGTTCTTTTAAATCTCGTGCAGATTATTGCCATATTTTCATTTCTCACTCCCTGTCTGCTTCCACCTGCAGGGCTTCTTCGAGTTGTTCCCCACAGTGAGGAGCACACTGGTTGTCGACTAGAGCCGAGGAGAGCCATAACTGATGGAAACAAAGGATGACATTTTCATCAAGCAGGTTGCATTTACACATGCAGGATCCAGCACTTACTGATGCAAAGTGTATGTCCATCAGAAAAGGTGGAAATCTGGTCTTGTGTATTTGATGAAGATGACAAATCCTTTCCTTAAGACACTTTTTCAGTATTTCTCCTCTATACCCTAATATGCTGTAATCATATCACCAATGAAGGTTGTGACTGTTTCTAACGATCTGAAATTGTTTAGGAAATAATAAAATGTGTTAAAGTTTTGTGTTTGTTATTTTACTTCACATATAATATTGAATGTGCAAGGTTTCATCCTGCAGGAGAAGCTGCTGTCATTGAATTATATCTCATCACTTATATGAATAAAACCCTCTTAGGTGCCAGATGTGCAGCTCTGCCAAGTTTCCCGACAGTTTGTTGGCACAATGAAGAGAATATCTCGTCTACAGGAGCCACTTTTATAATGCAGAGAGGGGGAGGATCATCTCCACCCTGCAAGAAATGCGTGTTTTCACATATAGTCTAGTCTTTTTGAAGGTCTCTGTCTTGTCTCAGAATCGAAAGCATTTTGACTCTTGTCTCGCTCTCAGTCTGGACGGACCCTGGATTTTGAATCAAGACCACCACTGAGGCTATTGGTCCACATCATGACTTTGATAAGATAACACCCCTTTTTAAAAGAACAAATAACTTTAATTCATTCAGAATTCGATTTTTATCCTCCAGTTATGGCCTCAACCTTCCTGGTGTAAGTGAGGGACACGCCCCCTGCACACAAGACAATTATTTTTCAAGCATATTTAAGGTCTTGTCTCAGTGTCGGAGCACTCCAGTCTCGGGTATGTCTTGGTCTCGGTTAGTGTGGTCTTGACTACAACACTTCTATAGTCATGTCCACTCTGAGTTTTATCTGCTCCTTAATCTTGAAAAAAGTGGGTAGTTCAGTCAGAGGGATATAACTCTGCTGGTTGGCCAGACTTCTTAATATGGCAGAATTACATGTCCTGAAATGAGCACAAATAGAGGAAAATAACTGAACCATTTGATATCTAGTAACCCATTTAGTAAAAATGAATCTTATAGTTATGTAGGAGTCTTGGTATAACTTTTCGTAAGTATTTAAGTCTTTTTAAGAGTAAAGAAACGGAAATCTTAAATTAAATACTAATGTTTAAATACACAAGCTGAACAGCTGAAGTCTTAACTTGCAATTATGCTAATTATTTCACAGGAAGAAAATTAGATTTCTACCAAAGAAGGTACACAGAATGATAATGCATAGTTTATAATTAAACCAGCAGGTCCCAGGTGTGTTGGTTTGTGATCCTTAAAATAAATTGTGTGCATGGTTTGGTGTTCATTTCTTGTTTCCCCTATCATAGTTTTCTTCAAATAACTTTAAATCCCTCCAGAAAGGTCTTAATCCAAGTATGTGTATGAAACCTTTTCTTTTAATAATCATGGTATGATCCCTTAAATATGTGTGTGTTGAACCTTGGCAGGGGCTCCAACCTCAGGTTGAGAACCATTGCATCAAACTGACTGTAGCCTATATGAAGTGATTCAGACTAACTCTGCTGTTAATAAAGATCCAGTTAAAGGCTCAGGATTTTCTGTAAAACAAGAACTAGTATTTGTACTTGTTCACAGTCCAGTCTTGAATGTTTTTTTCAGTGTGGCACCTCCTCTGGCTCTGTTTTCCAACCAACTCTCTCTCTCTCTCTCTCTCTCTCTCTCTCTCTCTCTCTCTTCACACACACACACACACTCTCTCTCTCATACTTCATCTCTGTCAGTAAGTGAGCTCCAGAAGCAGCAGCAGCAGCAGCCTCTCCTCAGAGATGGAGAGCTGGTAGAAGTGCAGCAGCAGCGGCCGCTTTCCCTCCTCTTCTCCGGTGGATGTTGGATGTACGATGAGGTCTCCGCGGCTCTGGGCAGCTCTGTGCCTCCTCCTCACCGCCTCCTGCCGGCTCTGCGCGGCCGCCCGACACGGTAAGAAGCACCAGACCAGAACCGACACTGACCGAGACTGATACACTTCCCTGTTAATGAACTGACTGCATCCAGGTGGCATGCAGGGCGGCGCGTAAATCACGACTTATCCACTGACAGGAACCTCTGTCCTGTGTTCTTTTAGTTACTAATATTTTCAGCTTTGAGTTTGAACTAACCTTAAACGCTTTATGTTGCAACTGTTATCTTATTTTTTTACATTTAATTAGATTACTTTGTAATCTGCCGTTTTCCCCAAACGATTTTTTGAGCTGCAGGATTTGTTACGAGCTGCATGTGTTTTGTGCCTCAAAGTATGGGGGGGGGCACTTTTAATTCGGCGTGACACCCCATTTAATTCATGATTATTTGAGCTTTTTCTGTTCTGCACTAAGACCTACCCAGCCGGCCGGATTTGATTTCTTGCTTTTCCCTCGGTTCGTCTCAGATCTGTTTACACCGGCGGTGAATTGCGTCACTGATGATGTGACCGCGGGTTCAGCTCGGACGTGTCTGTCTGCCCGAATGAATCATTTTGTTGATCAGTCTGCGAGGACAACAACAAACACACAAACAAACATCAGGGTGGAGAGAGAGAGCGAAAACGATGCATAATGTGGTTATTGTTGTGGTTGGTTACTGTCATCGAGGGTTTAGAATTACTCACTTTACCTTCATGGTTTATAATTAATCAAGTTAAGAATATTTTAGAAGTGTGTTAAAATGGATTAAATTAGAGATGTATTTAAAATGTCAAGTAATTATAAAGGAACTTAATGAAATCATGTTTTTGCTGACAGGCAGCTGCACTGATTTTCAGGTGTATTCCAACACCTTGTGACGTCACTGCTAGGCCACACCCACCCACCATGGGTGATCCTAGATGTAGTCTGAGGTGAAACACTGCATTTCAGCTTGCTGTTTCTCTACTGCAGAACAAACTATTGTAAAGAGGCTGCAGCTGTTGTTCAAACCACAACATGCTCTAATAATGAACTGTTTATACATTTAAGGGGCTCCAGGCATAGACACAACGAGGACCCTCCAAAATACTGCAGAATATGTAATCGACATGTATTCCCTTTGCGCTGGATATCACAAGAAGTGGAATAAATCTTTCCCAAAGCTTCCTGTCACAGTAAAACTGCCCTCCATGGATATCACAAATAATACTGAGGCATAAAAATGATATAAAAACATCCAGGTTATACATTTATGAAGCTATAGGACACACTGATAGTGCTATATTGAATTTGAATACAGCTCGGCTGACTTTAGTATGCAAATACAGAGGTGTATGGAATGTCAAAATGAAGAGAAACACGCTGAATCACTGCTAAATCAATAGTTATTACTGAGTCCTGTGACTGCACAGCTGCTAAAAGTGAATCCACACAGAACTTTTTTTTACCCCCTGGGCCCCATAAGCTCACTCTGTAATCCCTCCATGGCCTTGAGCTCACTATAATTTCACTGTCAGGTACCACATAGACATTACAGCCCAATCACGCGGATTACAGACACTGACACAATGCTAATAAGACGGTAATGGACTTAAAAGGTCACTGTATAATCTTAAGATCTTGAGAGGAATATTATTATATTAGATTTTACATCTCGGCATGAAGAGATAATGGTTACTTTGTGCCATTTAAGAATTTTCATATCATAAATGAGGGAGATGCAAGTGCCAGATTCAAACTGTTTTTGCAATGTGAACACTCTGGACTCATTAAAACAGCTTTTATGTGTCTGCTAGAACTGATAGTTTGCAGTATTTTTATTTGCAGATGATAAGAAGCAAGTACGTCGAAAAAACACAAGTAAAGTCGGTTAATATTAATAACTGTTTTCAGTCAGGTGCAAAAGTAAATACAGAAACGTTTTTTTTCTCCTCTTTGGGGAGATAATGTCGGTAAACTCCCACAAAAAAAACCAGAATGTAATCATATTCTGTCTTTATATGACACCCGTTCAGCTGTTTCAACCTCAGATTCTTGTCATGTATCAATGCAGACAGACTATAAACACCTACAGGAATGTAATAGCAGTATTACAGGATGTCATACTCACAGTTGTGACTCATAACTGACCCCTCAGCTTCGTCTGCTCACAGTTACTACAGTGACTTCCTGTCTGCGTTATGCACTAACACAGTACAGTGTTTCAGCACCACGGACAGCGACTGTCAGAGTGTTTCAGCACCACAGACAGCGACAGCGACAGCAGCTAATACTAAATCCTGTTTATTACACCATGTTACAGTTAGTCATCTGTACACTGCATTAGACAAAGTGTAAAAATAAATCATGGTTTATTTAGATTTAGATCAGATTTATTTTTTTTTTTTTTTCAGTGACTTAAAGTCTCTTCAACAGTATATGAAGTATCCCAGCCTGATTCACTTTTGAAAAAGGCAACTTAAGTCAAATGAATCAGTGTGGAAAGTAGTGTTGTAGTACTCGAAATAGGTCTTTGTCTCCAGACCGGTCTCGAGCCCACTTTTTGAATGTCTCTGTTTCGTCTCGGAATCGAAAACATTTTTCTCGGCCTTGTCTCGGTCTCAGACTGGGCGGACTCCAGATTTTAAATCAAAACCACCACTGAAAGGCTATTTCTCCATGTCATTACTGTGATTAGAAGGAAAACAACTTTTTTTTAAATTCAACTTATTTTAAATTCATTCATAATTCGATTTTTATCCATTGGTTACAGCTGCAATCTTCCCGGCGTTATGATCTGAGTAAGTTTCACACCCCCTGCACACAAGATGAGGATTTTTCAGTGATATTTACGGTCTTGGTCTTGTCTCGGTCTCGCCCTGCCTTGGTCTTGGTCTTGTCTTGATCCATAAATGTCTCGGTCTTGTCTTGTTCTCGGAGCACTCTGGTCTTGGGTATGTCTTGGTCTCGGTTAGTGCGGTCTTGACTACAACACTTGCAGAAAGTCTGCTTTGAGTCGTCAGAGTGAAACAAGCTTGAGACTAAAGCAAGACAGAGACAAAAGAAATGCCCTTACAACTGCAAATGTAATACTCCTTTTATTGTGTCCTTACATTATAAAATCTAGATTTTTTTTAATGAAAGTGATAGATGGTAAATTTGCATAATAAGAATTTGCAAAAATCTCAATATGATTCCGATAAGATATGTTTATCTTGTAGACTTTCTGCATGAAATTAAATGTGCAAAATGAGAATGATTGTTTCTCAGAGAGGCTCCAGTGAAGCATTACCTGCTCTCGTAGATTTATATTTAGATCAAAGAGTTTTACATCTGTGTGTGGAAGACAAAGACTTAAACAGGAGAGGCCAGCAGCAGAGACTGTGATAAATACAGGACAACAGGAAACGCTTTTAGAGATACCTGAGAACTAGAGTCCTGGTCATGAAGAGAAGACCAAAAAACGAGCTATATGAATCTTACAAGAGAGGATAATTATTTTCCAATAACTTCCTAAAGGTTGAAGGTAAAAGGAGGAAATTGTTTGTATGTCGGGGACTATTTGTCAGCTGCAGATGAATCAACATTTTGTGTTCTAGCGAGCGTTTGAGTATAAACTGAATGTAAGCCACAGTGGGGGAGTTTGTTATAATGATGTCACCAAGTGCAAAACTCTGGCTCACTGAAGTGTTTTTAATAGTTTTTGTGCAAAATGGAGCTCAAAGCGCAGAAGAAGAAGCTATAAGAATACTTCTGAGTAGATAGCTGCATTGTCAGTTTTATTTTCATCAACAAAAGAAAAAAACAAAACCAGCTTTAACCTTTAGGTACTTCCTGGACATCACAGCGAGTCTAACTTAGAGTGAAAGATGGTGTAAAGTTAGAAGTTCAAAGGCTAGCCGAGCTGAGGAGGGTTTATAACCACCCTGCCTCTGCTGCCACTCAGACAAACCACGCAGGTTGTATTCCTCCGCTCCATCCTGGCTGACTCATTCCACCTTAAATATCCTCTGTCAGCCCGCAGAGCAGAGGACGAGCAGCCACAAATGCCAGCATCACCATTATGAGAACAGCATTGGATCTAATCTGGCAGGAAGCTAATGGAGGATAAAAGCGACACACGGAGAAACTGATGATGATGATGATGATGTAGGGAAGGAGAGAGGCTGTAGTTCATTTTCTCAGATGAACATGAGTCAGCCTGAATTTCTTGATATTTACTTTTCCACGTAAAACACACATTAGACCAAAAGCGGGCGGGCACATGCACGGCTGCAAAATGTGCTTAGGTTTTTTTCAATTAATTAATTTAGCTGCCAGATCTATTCCCTGCATTAATTAAGTGTTGCGTCCAGTTCTCCAGACTCCTCATTGATTTTGAAGTTTGGTCAAGTCTTGGCAAATTAAAGTCCTGATAATAAAAGACAAGATACCAACATTCGATGTTAGGAGGAGAGGGGGTGTTCACCTCAGTCTCTTGAGTTAAAAATCCCTTTTTAAAGGGAGATTAAAATGTGAATGCAAAAGGGAAATTGTAGACACTGAACACCTGATATTAAGTTTTATATGATGTTATAGGCTCTAACAGATCAAAGAGGATAAAAAATGTCCCTAGAAGCCAACAAAGAGAGGCAGAAAATGGTCTTTGTGTGTGCATGACGTCAGGATTTCAGATCAAAACGACCTCAGAAATGGCTCCTAACCTCTCTCTTTAGGTGATGATGATGATGATGTAAGGACATGAAACATACTAAAGCTTTTATCCATTTGGCTGAGATCCCAGACAGATACCTCCCCAGAAAAACAAAATGGAGCTGGAGCAGTAGTTCACCACAGAAACACAGCATGTGAAGGAGTGATCCTGTACTCTCTATTTCTTATAAGTTTTAACTGAAGAAAGCTGATTGTGAGAAAAAAAAAGATAGCAGAGTTGCCCCTGGAGAGACATAAAGACCTGCTGCTGGCTGGAACTGTCTGAGTCGAGTCATTTTATGTTTGTTTTTTTCTGTTCAAATTGAATCAGGCGGCAGAGCTTATTGCTGAGTCTGTTTCTATGACTCCCTGGGTTAAGAAATGCTGCTGATTCAACTCCACAAAAAAGTCCCCCACTTACGAGTCACAAAAGAGGTTTCAAGGTCCTTTTTTTTTCTTATGAGAATATTCTAACTTATCATACAGATACATTTCTTTACGTCAGAACAAGGTGTCGGGTTTGCACGTAAAAAAAAAAAATTTGGGGTGCTGGATTAAATCAAACTGAAGGCAAGAATCAAAAATGGATCTGCACACTGCACTAAAATCTCCCAGCTACTTTAAAAATAAAAGCAACTTTTGAGCTCACAGATCTTCCTCGGACATTGAATTGCTTGAGATGTTGCATTTAAAGTTGCTGGAAGCTTTTAATAAAGTGTGCAGATCCTTTTTTTAACCATCCAGGTTAGTCCTGTTAAGATCAGAGATCTCTTCTTCAAAGAAGAGCAAAGAAAAGAAAAGCAGCAGCAAAAACACTCATACAGTACACATTTCAAAAATAAAATCGTCAGCTCAAACAGCTTCTTTCAGAAAGTTTGGATTCAAATATTCTCACTAAGGATTTTAAAACATTCAGGCAAACTTAGTTACTTACAGTTTAAATTCAGACTGCAGGTTGTTCCAAGCAAAAAAGTGCAGAACACCTTAAAGTTTTCTTCCCCAACTCAGTTCTTGATTTTGCATCTTGCCCCAGTTTGATTTCAGTGCAGCACCCTTCTGTTTTTCTGTAACCTTCCAAGATACAAACACAAACGTCTTGCAAACACTCGTGGCAGGTTGAGCTTACTCTGATGCTCTAACGGCCGATCAAACTGAGTGACACTTCTCTGCAGCATTGTCCTCGTCGTTCATTCATTTATTCATGTTTTCTAGTTCTCAGTCTTAAAGGTGTCCTTGCGGAAAACGGTAGGACAAAAAGCAGGTGAATCTAAATATCGTAAATGTAAATCAACCTTTTGGAAGGAGTTAACAAAGACAGAATTTGTCCTGGTTTTAAGAAAGATGGCGGGGCTGGCATATTGCATTCTTTGTGTTATTTCCTATAAAAGTGATATTTGTTAGTAGATAACATAGTTTTGGTTTTTGCAGCTCATGCTTTAACACTTTACTCGACTAAAGTTGCAGGATGTGATATGAAAACAAACTGATCAGGATTATATTTTTTTCCTTTACAGTGAATCATTCAGTTTGCTCATTACATGCCCAATTATATCAAAGTGATTTTAATTAGGTGGTAATGTTGGGCAATAAAGAGGTGATTGATTGTGATGTGACAGATGGCATTGATTGACAGTCGGCAGGATGAGTTTAACGAGCTGATCATCTTCTGGAAACAGACAGAGGAGAAAAGAGGAGAGGAAGGGAGGGGAGGACAGGGGCAGAGATATGACAAGAAGAAAAGAGAGAGGGAGGGCTGTGTGGGCGGAGGACAGAGATTAGTCATCATGTGGAGTTTGGACGGAGGAGGCGGCGGCGGGTGGATGGAGAATCTCTCCTCCGTTCTATGTTTAGCAGCTCCCTCGTTTAATGGAGATTCCTCCTCTGATAGCTGCTGCACCGGCGCTTTGTTTGTGTCGTCATGTAGTCGATATTCTGTCTGACTCCTTATAGATTTCAGGCAAAAGAAAAAAGATGGGTTGTGTCGGCCCTGAGGATGTAGTAAAGAAATCTACCTGAGGGATGTTCTGGTTTTCTCATGTCAAAAAACGTGTTTTTATGATTCCATTTCAAATATTGCTCATAGCTATAGATCGTGTTTGACGATAAATTAATCTGCACATCGTTTGTTTTGCTCTGTAGCCGCACCTGCATGCAGGATGTTTTAAGACTAATGCTTGCACACATGTGATTTTAACAGAATTCACCTGCAGCTCATGGCTGTTGAAAAATGTCGGGGAGGAATCAATGAGGGACATTTTAAGGCAAAATCATTTCATGGAACAAGCTTCTAAATTCAACAGCATTTAAACAAGTATTACTTCCTTGTTTAACAGGATATGCTGAACCTGGCTCTGCAGAAACAAGTGAAAAATGTAAAATGTTGATCGTGTAAGATTACACATGCCATGCAAATCAGTAATGTGACCTTGTCTACAGATCCAGACTTTAATTCAGATGTTAAAACAAGTCAAAACAAATATTTGCCTTGTTCATAATGAACATTTATTTATTAAAACATTTAGTTTCAGTTTCTTTTCGAAAAAATATTTAAAAACCAGGTTTGTGCATGAAGGATGAGATTGGATTTGTTTAATATCAGCCAAAAATGAATCTGTAAAAATGTGTTTTTCTGTGTTTAAAAGTTTTAATCTGACACACTCCTCGTCTCCGACCATATCAGTGATTCAACAGTTTCAGTTTTGACTTGTGTGACATTTCTCTGACAGTGATGCTCTTAAATCTAGAAGAGTGGAAACAAAATGTGAGTCTTTTTCAAACTGTAAGAGTAAAGGAGTTGAGTGGAGTCATTAGTGTGTTGTGTTTGTGCAGTTTGTTGTGTGCACTGCAGGATGAAGTTTATTATCTTTAGCTATCACAGGATCTATGAATAATACACATCAGCATTATATAAACCCTTTAATGAAAAACCAAACGCAAACAGGCGTAAATAAACAGAACACAGCCACCGCTTCACATCTGCTGCTGTTTACCGCCTCAACACGGATTAAGGCCTGGAAAAGGTCAACTGTAACACACACACACACACAAGGTATATATTCCCATCACTTAGCAACAACAGAGAAGACCAGTGTAGCTGCCTGCTCTTGTTGGGGTTCCCTGTCTCATTCTGTCTATTTGTGACCTTTAATCTGCTTTAATTTAATGTCAGTTTAAAGATTTCTGTTACAGCGCAATGTTGACATTTTCTGATATCAAGAGCTCTTTCTGCTTTTATCTGAGGCATGATAACCTCTTTTACAACGGCCTCTTTTAGCTCAACCAGACTTAAAGAATCTTATTGTATCCCTCCTCTGCCTAAAATGTTGCATGTTGGTATAAAATATAGATTATTGTGTGCCAAAGTAAATGTGTGTGTCTGTAATCATGACAATTTGAATGTGCAAAAAGACAGGATTTGGGATTGGGATTTGTTATACAGGCATCAAAGATTAAAGGTTAAGGTAACACTTTATTTATAGGAACATTTGTTGTATTGGGAGATTTTGCAACGTCTCTTCAAATGAATGTTTCTCAGTTTTGACTGAATTCTCTGCACTTGTTGTGTCTGTGTGTTTGCAGGTTGTTTGTTTGAAAAGAAGCTCTGCCCGAGAGATCAGCTGTGCAACGATGGTGAGTTTTTCATTTTCATCCTAAACTGTCTTTCTGTGTTTTTACATTCTGTCAGCCTCAGTTAGTAGGAAAAGCCCAGAACAGTTGCTGCAGGAATAACTCTGCAGAAAGGTTGGCAACTTGTTGAATTTACATGATGACCCGAGCCAGTACATCTCTTGTTAGCTACTACATCCAGGAAATTAAGTTTCTCAGATATGGCAGGTTGTCAGGTTGATGTGGACACTTCTCTCCTTGGTGAGAAGCTCCTATGTACAGTGCCCTGAATACAGCGTGTTGAGAATAGTTAATCGAGCGATAGTGAGCAATCCCTGCAGGCTCCAGCTGCAGCGACATGCTTCAGGAAGCTTTGACGTGTTTTCAGTCCATCAAGCAGTCAGAGCTGAATGTTTGTCACAGCTCAGCCAGCATTTACCGGGCTCTCTACAATCCCTTAGTGTGATTTTAACTTCCTGTTCAAACACAGTTAGGATGTCATTACAAGAGCGTGCACGAGTGTGAGCGTGCTCCAGTGTTGAGCGTGCACGAGAGTGAGCGTTCAGATGTGTGTCTCGGTCTTCAGAGACGGATGCATTATTGATGGCAGGTTGTTTCCGCCTTGAGGATGTTTTGTTCCCTGTTCCACAGTCGGGGACATTCAGGGAACATCTGCGCCCATTTTTTTCACGACGTGTCTGATGAGGCTTTGAGGAAGTGCTCTGATTGACTGTGTGTGAATAGGCAGGGTGTGTAACAGGTTGTATTTCAGACTTCATTTAACACAATGCGTCCTGTAGCTTAAAACAGCTGTAATCAATGCTAACACCACTTATATTTTATTCATATTCTTACTAAATCTTTCCCTTTGATTCTCTTTATTCTATTGCTAATCTAAGTAGATAGTTGTATACCCATTAACACCTCTAATCTGGACAATTTGTAATAATGATATTTCATTTTAAAATGCATTCAAAACGTCCCACTTTGTATCTCTGAACATCTCGAATATTTAAGTAAAATCATTAAATCCAAAGCGTGTTTGAGCAGAAAAGATGGTTTGCATCTCTTAACGTCCACAGTCGGCCGTTAAAGAGAAAGATTATTCCAGTCTGCACTAAAAGAATGACCCAATTTTATGTCCTTAAACATCAGTTATCTTCACTTCACCGCTGCAGTATTAAAATCAAATAAACTGGAGCCAGACTGCATTTAAAAACAACAAATGTTTCTTTAAAAATCCTGTAATCTGTGTTTAATTGCTTTTACAGTTAGCAAAAGAAATCCTCCGCTCAGACAAGAAGAATTTTGTTTCTTACAAGATCTGTTTTGTCTGCAAGACTATAAACAGTATAAAATAATCCAGTCTGTGCCATAAAACATCTGTAGTCGATGATGCGAATAAAATCCTTCCAGACGGCATTGAGCAAACATCATATTTTGTTTCTTTTCACATCTCTGTCTTTCACTCTTGAGAAAAGAGATTTAAACCAGCAGACTCAACTACTGCATCTCTCTGTGTGAGCACACTCAGTCGTCATTCGAGCGAAAGAGAGTGTGTGTGTGTGTCTCTGACGTGTGTGTGTGTGTGTCTGTGTACCACTATGTGAGTGTGTGAAAATGATTGGTTTCTCGAGATTCGTCAGATGGGCATCGAAGGTGGAGAGAGCAAGGTAAGTGATGCGGAGTGAGAGAAACAGAGAGAAGAAGAGCGAGAGCGCAACGTAAACAAGGTCTCCCTCCGTCACCGCTCTCTGCCAATCGCAGTGTGTCCTGGCCGTCTCTATGACAACAGTGACATCACTTGCCTGACGACCGTGTGTCTCCCTCATGGGTGTGTGTTTGCGGGAGTGTTTGATGAGGGCTGGAGGGAGGCAGAGGTGATGACTCACTAAGGCCCACATGCACACACTCATACGCACAATGCACACACAAAGCTTTGCAATGTGTGTAGGATTTCTGTGTTTTAAAATATATTCACGTGTTCGGTTGTGCACATGTGTGAAAGTGTAGTCTGTGCCTCTTATGTGTGTTTGAATTCACTGCATTATTGTGTTTATTTAAATGTGTGTTGCGTGTGCTTAAATGCTTGTGCATGCGAAAGTGTCTTTCATTTTCCTCCAGTGAACATCAGCTGTGTGGAAATGAACTGAGCTGCTTTTATGGTCCAAAAAAGAATCAGAAACAAATATTTTCCTGGATAAATTAGAACAAAACAGGATACGTTTGTGTGCTTGACGATGTGCGAGTCTGCTCTGCCTCAGTCTTTGAACTGGTTCACTGAGGCCAGGATGTTTGTGTCCACCTGCATTGAGTCAATGCTAAGCTGCTTGGGGCTTTCATGTGGTGTAAAGGATCAGTTCCCTCAATTTATGAGACTCATACCCACCTTCTTTGGAACATTTCAAATGAAGAAGTAAACCCAAGGAGGTCAAAGATATGATATGAACGATATGAAACCTGTTTTTAGATAAGAGAAGATAAGAGAAGATAAAAACACTTTCTTGTCTGTTTGCACGGAAATGTGTTTCTTTACAAGCTCATAAATCCTCTCATCAAATGATGTATACTTTTTTCATTTGATCATGTTATGAATGAGTGCATGCTGTTTAACTGTTCTCAGGAGAGTCATAAAGAAAGCTTTTGGTGTTTTCCTGTGCAGACGGTTTGTTCGGACAGTGCCAGGCCCCTCGTCAGACCCCGGTCCAGTACCAAGTGTCTGTGCCTGTCCTGCACAAGCTGCAAGAAGTCCTCAAAGACCTGATGGTTCAAGGTGAGTCCACTTTAGCATTAGGCTTTATTTTATTTATTCATTTTACCTTTATGTCACCAAATATTCTCATTGAGATACAAGAAGAGTCAAAGTCAGTCAGCATTAAAGTAATGTCTGACATTTCTGTCCCAGGTCTGACCTGGAAGGATGACATCACTCAAGCCATCATTGGCCGAGAGCTGAGTCACGTTCCCACCATCAGCTCCTCCAAACTTCATGAGAAGTCGCCCAAACAGTAAGAAGCAAATAAAAACAGTTTAAATAATGCTGAATCAGTGATTACGTACAGAGAATGAACAATCTCTTATTCTTTTGAAATGAATAGAAAGTCTTCTTTCTCAGGTTTTCCAGGCAGCCAGGCGGTCTGGGTCAGAGGAGGGTTCAGGGGCCCGAGGATCCAGCTGACCCTGTGATGATGCAGCAGTATGTGGACTACATGATCCTTGATCCTTCCCGATCCTCCTCTGTGCACATGCAGACCCCCCTGCTGGACCCTTACACCTACCACCAGGTGGGAAGAGTGTAACACCAAATAATTGCTTTAAATTTGGGATTTAGTTTTACCTTTCAATGCCAATGACTTCATGTCTGTCTCTTCAGTTTGTTGAGTTATTGTGCCCCCTAGTGGCCATTAAAAGCCCATGTCTGTTGTCCTTACAGCAGCAGTACGGCTACCAGGATGAGGAGGAGCGCTCCCTCAACACTCTGGATGATAATCCAGCCTTCCCGTTCCTGACCTCCTCCTCCCGCTCCAGATCCCGAGGAGACCCTTTGGACAGAGATCGGCAGCTCCTCCAGGACCTGGTGTCCTTTTACCTCACCTCCCCTTCCTCCTCTTCCTCCTCTTCCTCTTCCTCTTCCTCTTCCTCCTCCTCCTCCTCCTCCTCCTCCCCTGTGCAGTCCCTCTCTCGCCAAAAAGGGGCTTTGGCAGCAGCAGCGTCAGCAGGATTTCCCTCTTCTTTGTCCTCATCTTCCTCGTCCTCTTCCTCGTCCTCCTTCTTCCCTGAGCTGGACTTCCCTCTGGACTACGGCGAGGACTACGTTTCCCAGGTGGCTCAGCTCAGCAAGCAGCAGCAGCAAGAGCAGGCGGAGAAGAAGGCTCAGGACGAGTATGACGCCCTGTCAGGACTAGATGGTGAGAAAAGAAGAAAAGACATGTAGAATGAGAGAATAACAGATTTTTTACATGAATCTTGAAGTTCAAAATCTTGGAGATTAAAGATTTATACCTTGCAACAGGTGGATCAATGTCATGCTGACTAAAGAAAATAACAATGCAATTAAGAAACAAAAAGCACAACTCCCCCAGAGCACAGAAAGAAATGAATGAAGTTATTTTCTTTTGGTTCTTTAAGTATATTTTGATGCTTCACTAATACTTTGGTTTTTGACTTAAGATTCATTTTCAAATACTGGACGTATAAGAGAGTACTTCTTCTCTTGAGTTATGCATTTTTCAGCTAAAGAAAAGATCATGATGTGAAATCTGATTTATAAATGTAGTGTCATAAGAAGCCTTTCACAAACTGTTAATGAGCTCTTGCTTGTGTTTTCAGAGCGCTCCCTGCAGAGGCTGTCTCTGCTGCTCGATCACTACGGCCTCGACATGAAGGATTTGTCCTCCGAGCAGAGAGACAAGCTGCCGGCCGCTCTGAAGCAGCTGCAGCTCGACAGCACCTTCGGATTCAAAGAAACGAAAGGTGAGTTCTTTCTGTGAAGATGTGACTGACGTTCTTTGCAAACAATTGTAAAGTTATTTTCTTGTACTCACAATTTAAACTAAAACCACTCACAAATCTGAGAGAAACTCAAGTTTTAACATGTAAGCTGTATCATCAGAAAACACAGCTGTGCTCTGCAGGACTCTGAAGCACTGGGTCCAAATACTCATTCATTTATTTTGGGTTGCATCAGGTATGATCATATGATGTTTGTTTTTGTTCTCAGATAAATATGGAAACAGTGCGGACAAAGGAAAGAAGGTGAGATCTGTTTTGTTTTATTCTTTAACCACCAACAGAAGAAGAATTTTCTTTATTTTAAGAGGACATTTATCAGGCTATAAAGTACAGTATGCAGACTTCTGATGTCTTTAAATGTTTAAGTAGGACGACAGACGTACTTCAGATAAAATGTTATCAGTGCCTGAAAAGAAAACAATAATGCTGAAAAGATTTTTGAAGTAGCTTCAGGTTTGATAGAAGCACACATCAGCTGTAAAGAGCCCACGTTCATAATACTCTTCTGAATTTTTTAAACTGTATCTTGAACCATCAGATGACAGCGGGTTCCATGTCTTATAAGAAGCCGGCCCCCGAGGCTCCGCCCCCCGCCGTCAATCCCCCTAAACCAGAGGAAGCTCAGAAAGATTCTCCTCCACCTCCTGCTGAAGAGGTCAAACAGGACAAACCAGCAGCCAAAGCAGACGAGTACGGATACATCGTCACCAATCAGAGGTAGATTTCATCACGTCCACCTCCTGCTTCAACCAATCAGAACTACTCCTTGTGTGTGGGTGAATGTGGCGTCCAGTTTTACATGTTTTTTGGTTGTTTTTAAGTTTTTGATGTGTGTGGACAGAGAGGAATCAGAGGGAGAGCTAAAAAGTCCAAAAGAATACAAGTTATGCACCTGAAGTTTTTATTCAAGCTTAAAAAGTTCAAATGCGTGTAAAACAAAGGTTTACTTCAAGTTCAAACTTAGGGAGGAAATGAGAATTAAACAGTCACGGTAAATCCAGCAGGAAAAGAGAGAAGGCGGAAAATAATTTGTGAAATTGTTTGACACAATTTTGTCCACAGCTGATGAATTTATCTGATGAGCTGAGCATAGTGAAGCTGATTAATACTGTGTGGGACTAAAAACATTTTAGGAACACAAGTCGATAATATATGGAAATAAAGGCAGATGGACATTTGTGGACTAAAAACGTAATTTCTACATTTTTGTGAAACAATTTTTAGTGCTTTGTGGTCTTCTGACATAATACTTAGGTCCTAGAAACTTACACCCTCAGGCCAAACAGCAAAAGGAAAAAGTGGAGGGAGCTGAATTAGATGTCAAAATTAGATGTCAGGAAGTAAGGAATGCAAAAGGAGACCAGGATGCAAGAAATTACGTTTGGAAAGAGCACGGACAGAAAGACGACACTAGAAGAAACGTTAGAAATTCTGTGTGTTTATGAGTGTATACGTGTTTGTGTTTGTCTGTGAATGTGTGCGTTTTGTCACCACAGCCCCCTCAGTCTGAACGACGGGGTGCGATTGTTGGAGAGTCTGTCTGAGAGGAGCGGCCTCTCCACCGCCTCCATCATCAACGTCAGGTAGGAGCGAGGATGCTGGTGGGCACGTGTTTGATAACTGTGCGGCTTCCTGATGATTTTGAATCCACCTGTCCTGAGCTCACATACTGGATCACTGACTCTTAAAACTACCCAGAGCTGATTTTGGAACCTGAACGCCTCATGAGATGTCACACCTGTTGGAGCGAAGAAGCTGCTTATTCTCTGCATGTGAAAGTGAATTTACCTGCTTGATCCAAACCTGCAATAATCTGCTCTTAATCCAGTTTAAGAGAGAGTTTTTAATGCACTGCCTAAGTAAGAATTACTTAGTATGTTCCTGCACTGATCATAACTTTGGATCTGCTTCTGTGTTCTCTCCTCTGCAGTGTCGTCGGACCTTCAATCACCTTCAGAATCAGACCGAACTCCAAGAACCTGACGGCTGGAGAAGTGGCGGAGAAAGCAGGTAAACAGCTGCATTTTAGAACTCAAACATTTAGAGGACTCCAATGTGCTGCAGAGGGTTTGAGCATTTTGCAGAAATGTTGTTGTTGTCTTATCCCTGCAGTTGCAGAGAAGAACTTTCTGGAGTCTGAGACAGGCCTGAAGGTGCTGCAGAGCGGAGTCGGAGAGGTGGGTGCTTGTAATTTAGGCAGTGGTGCAGGAGGTATGAAGAACCCTCGTCTTACAAAAAACACCAAAACCACACTTTTAAAGTACCAGACTACAAGTCAGTGTCCTGCTCTAACGTTAGAAATTGAAAAGTTGTGCAGTCAAATGGTCCTGGGAATGTTTTGCTATTAAAAAATAATGCTTCTGCTGCTTTAGTAAACTTGCAGCGTACATGTTTTTGAGCATGTTTTCACTAATCTGTATAAACTACTGTTGTACGGGAAAATCATAAAAGCTGTAGTTAAGTTTAGTTGATTTAGGTAAATATACTTCGTCCCCTTATATTGCTGCAATCCCTCGAAATGCAACGAGATCATTATCTTGAAAAGCCGCATTCAAAACCAAAATGTATATGGTTCCTTTATTTTGAAATCCGCTACCGGAAGTCCGGTTCGTTTATGTACTGTCCAACTTGATGTTGGACAGTATGTTTCGGTCCATGTGAGAGAGGCAGCAGGCCCGGAGAGTAGAGAGAGGCTCTGCATCGTTTGGTGAGTGAAACAGGAGCTAACTTAGGCTAATTAACATTTAATTAATATTCAGAAACAGTTTAATAATCAAGCAGTTAACCGTGATGTTGTTTTAAGACGTTAAAAAACAAATTTGTTGTCATTATCTCCTAAGAAAATATTTTACAAAGATGAATAAATATTATAAATAGTGAGCATTAGGGACGTTATCTGCATCACATTCCATAAATGTAATTTTTGTACACTAAATATGAAGTTTCTGTTGCAGTGTATGTACTGAACAGTGTTTATATTATATTCCTAACAATATTATCAGTATGAGACAGTTAAAGACTTGATGATAATATTTAATGTATTTGAGAAAGATAGTCCTGACCTCCTCATTTATATTGCTTCTTTAAAATCAAAGTAAGTTTTATATTTGATGCTCTTTATATTTTTAAAGTTTAATTATTTAGTTTGCTGCTCCAAAACAAACTTTATATCTGTTAAAGTATCAGTAGAAAATACCATGAATATTTTTTTACACTGCAATGACTTTAATTTATTAAAAAGTGTATCCAGTTTTTTTCTGCATGGAAGGAATTCTGCAGATGGTTTAAAGGATGTTTTGTTGTTTCATGGCCTCTTGGATGGATTCATCTTCGTATAATGAGCCGTGTTGAACGTCTCTGCGGCCTCTTGTAATTCATTAAATACAGAAGAAGAAAACTTTGGCTGTGTTGAGGTCTTAAAAGTGAACCACTTCTGTCCTTTGAGCACATGTAGCGTCTGTCATCCATTTTCTTTTTTTCTCCTGTTTTGCTCTGAACCCCACTGGGCCCCTTTCTACTAGCAGGTGAAGTCCCCTCTCTACCCTCACACACACACACACAATGAGAGTGTCACATTCCTGAGGCCCACAGAAAGGAATAAGAAGGTCTCAGAGGTCAAGAGAGACAATTCATTCCGGAGGAGGAGGAGGAGGAGGAGGAGGAGGAAGAGGAGGATTTAAAGGACAGGGAGAGAAAGTCAGAGAGGGGAGAGAAATGTGGGAGAAAAGAAGGGAGGACAGGAGAGAATGAAATGTAAGAGAGGAGAAGTGAAGGAGAGAACAGGAGAGGCCAGATTGTGTGAATGTTTAAAATAATAATCCAACACGGGAGATCTAAAGTTCCTCTTTGCCCCCTCCTGCCACAGAACAATGATGGGAAAGCGTTGCCCCTGGCGACCAGAGTCCAGCCTCCTGGCTCCCGCTGGTTGTTCGCCACGCTGGTGGCCATGGCGTGCATCGGCAGCATCCTGGTGGCGGGCATGACCATCGTTTGCCTGCGCCACCACGCCCACAGGCTGGCTGCAAAGAAGCTGGGACTGGGACCAGAGGGGGGCAGCTTCAGCCACCAGGAGTACCAGGTGAATAAGAACACCTTCATGCTTTGAATTTAACACTTGTACTACTTTACAGTGCACGTTGTGTTTTTTGTATTTCTCTTATGTTTAATGTTCTGTGCTTCAAATGTTGGAGCTACCTTGCACACATATTGCCTGACAGAGTTCTATCTTGTCTTATTTTATTAAAAAAGTGTTTTTCTTTAATAACTGAAGTAGATGTACCAGTCTCTCAGTGTATATGTAGGTAACATAAAAACCATTATCTGACATTTTGCATTCACCCAGATACTTAAAGAGCTTCAAGAGAACAGAATTAGATCTAAATCAAGTTGACACAAACAGAGAAACACCCCTCCAAATAAATGATAATGTGAATTTAATAAGATGTAATTTGGCACTTTTATGATTGCAGCTTGTTGCAGGGTCTCCAGAAAGCAGAACAATCTGTGTGTGCACGTTTTAAACACTTTAACCTGTGCACAAATAGCACTGTACAAAAACATGCATAACTGGCTCACCAGGACCTGTGTCGTCAGCACATGGCCTCCAAAGGCGCCTTCGGTCGCCTGGAAGCCGCTGCCCTGGGCGCCGTGGGAGGAGCGAGCGGAGGAGGAGGTGCTGCTGCTGTCAGTGGAGGAGGAGGAGGAGGAGGAGCAGGAGCAGCAGGAGGAGGAGGAGGAGGAGCAGACTCGAGGGTGAGCAGCGTGTCATCCCAGTTCAGCGACGGAGCCCAGCCTAGCCCGAGCTCCCACAGCAGCACGCCGTCGTGGTGCGAGGAGCCGGCGCAGGCCAACATGGACATCTCGACGGGCCACATGATACTGGTCAGTGTGTGCGTCATGTGATCACTCAGGTGTTCCTGTGAGAAGGAAATGTACATAACCTAGTTTCAGGAGAAATGTCGTTACAAGGTGTCTCAAGCCAAAAAGGTTAAGAACCACTGGTGTAGATTTTCAAATGATAATCTAATATGACATGTCGTGTATGTTTGTCTCAGGCCTACATGGAGGACCACCTGAGGAACAAGGACCGTCTGATGAAGGAGTGGGAGGCTCTGTGCTCCTACCAAGCCGAGCCCAGCGCCGTTTCTGTGGCCCTGAGCGACGCCAACGCCAAGAAGAACCGCTGCCCCGACTCTGTGCCCTGTGAGCTCCTGCAGCCGCCTCACTGACACAACATCTAGTGATAAAAAGAAAAGGCAAAGCACAACACTACTCAGGCCAAATTTAGAGAAATATGTCCGTCTGAGATGTTACAAAAGTTGTTAGTTGATACAAAATAAATACGGTATATAAGTTGTTTTTGACTACCTCAAAGCTTCTTAAGGGAAAGAGGAAATGTGGATTCTGAGGGGTTAAATGTCACTGTCGTCCTGTAGATGACCACTCCAGGGTGAAGCTGAAGGCGGAGATTAACCCTTCACGCTCTGACTACATCAATGCCAGCACCATAGTAAGTCAGCTGTTGACACCATTGTAACCACCTTAATCCTCTATGAAATCACGATGTCGTCTTGCAATCTGAAAAATAATTCAGCTGCTCAAGTAAAGCCGTGCTATTTAAGATAGTTTTTTAGTGCCTATGTATGACCTCTAACCCCCCCCCCTTTCAGATTGAGCATGACCCCCGGATGCCGGCTTACATCGCCACCCAGGGCCCCCTGTCGCACACCATCTCTGACTTCTGGCAGGTGAAACGAAACATTTATTTATATATTAGGATTTAAGTTTGTATACATTAAAATGAAGCTATAGTTGTGTGCACTGAAGATCTATAGATATACTTTTTAAGGCTCTAGATTTAAAAATGTGGATGTGCACAAATAGAATTAAAGAGTGGTTTGTTGTGTCTGTTGTTGTAGATGGTTTGGGAGAACGGCTGCACGGTGATCGTGATGATGTCGGCTCTGGTGGAGGACGGAGAGAAACAGTGCGACCGCTACTGGCCTGATGAGGGCTCGTCTCTCTACCACATCTACGAGGTGAGCACAGTGTTTGTGCCTGTTTGTTTTCATGTTAGCACACTGTGAGTCCTTTAACAGCTGTATTCATGTATACCTGTCCAGGTGAACTTGGTGTCTGAACACATCTGGTGTAACGACTTCCTGGTGCGGAGCTTCTACCTAAAGAACGTGCAGACGCAGGAGACCCGCACACTCACTCAGTTCCACTTCCTCAGCTGGCCTGCTCAGGGCATTCCCACCTCCACACGCCCCCTGCTGGACTTCCGCAGGTACAGATGCTTTCTGCACATCCTCGTACAAGAGAGATACGTCGAGTCTTACTGTCAGCTAAAGAGAGTGAAAATGCATGACATCTGAACTTCTCATGATGTGATCCTTCCATCATTCATCTGAATGTCCTGATCCTACAAACTGTGTGAACATGGTTATGAACATGCCATGATGATGAGTTTCCACTGGGTTTTTACATAGAAGAAGACATGCAAAAAAACACATGTCAAAATCATACAATCCCTCTATTCTCCCCTCTCTGTCCCTCATCCCCCTCCCCTCCTCTCCTCCCCCCTGTGCGATGGAGGTCAGCGGGGCCATGGCTTTAATTTTAACATATCTGTCTGTGTCATTCTTGTGGTTTGCAGCTAGTAGTCTGGGTCCAGTTGCATAGTCACAAAAATGATCATGGACTTATGTGGCTGCAGCAGGAGGTCCATCGCCGAAACCTATTAATTACCCCCTCTATCTGTCTAACTATCTGTCTGTCTGTCTTCCTTACTGTTAATCTGTTAATCCACAATTTATTTATTTTCTTTCTCTTCTCAGCATTTTCCTTCTCCTTTTTGTCTCTTTAGGAAGGTGAACAAGTGCTACAGAGGACGATCCTGCCCCATCATCGTGCACTGCAGGTACCTAACTACGATGATGACTTATAACACCTTAAAATAAGTTACAGTCAGACTTTTGTGATTAAAGGTATAATGAGTAGAATTATATGAAAATGTTTACATAAAAATAAAATTAATAAAAAATTGACTATGTATTTTTTTACACTAGTTACACTTACATTACCTTCAATATTTCAAGCATTTTTCAAAGCCAGAGAAATCATTAATTTTATAGTTGTTACGACTTTAAAGCTAGAAAAATGCTATTGTAGTACAACTTATGTCCACTAGATGGCAGCATTTCTCTTAAAATGCACAAAAGAGTAGGAATAGTCAAGTAAATTCATTTTGTTTTAAGCTTGTTTAGCTTTTTAATTCATCAGGGAATGTCTTCATCCTGACTTCATATGTTTTTAGTTTAAACTGTTGGGTATTTACATTACTTCAAATACTCTAATAATTAGCAATAGTTAATTATACTCTTTATGTAGCGCAGCAGTTTCATGTTTTGTATTGAAACTATGTTAAATTGCATTGTCTTTATTAAATAAATAAATTCAAATTTAAGTTTAAAGTTGACTTTGTTTTGTTTCCATAGTGATGGCACAGGCCGGACTGGGACTTACGTCCTGATCGACATGGTTCTTAATCGCATGGCTAAAGGTGAGCTATTTCTATGTTTGTTATTTGATGGGTTTTTTTTATTTTAAATGTGTAGTGTTGCTAAGAATATGTTACTTGTGTTCCTGCAGGTGTGAAAGAGATCGACATCGCTGCTACTCTGGAGCACGTTCGAGACCAGCGGCCCGGGATGGTTCGCACCAAGGTGCTTACTGAACTGCTGATTGTGTGTTTCCCTGTAATAAAAATGCAAAAGGTTGACACTGCAATTAAGAAGACCCTCGCTCCCCCACTCATCACATCTTGCATAACCCCCTGCTTGTCTTTCTCACGAAACACCAGGGGGGACACAGCCTCCCCTAGCCCTGGTACTCCAGGAGTGCACGTTGATCCAGGTACCGACCGCAGCGGGACTCGAACTCGCACTTGCCGCTATGTGTGCCTTCAGAGTTAAGACTCTCATCCACCACGCCACCGATGCCCTTCACACTTTGGATTTGCTCCGGGTGTATTTATCTTCGTCATTTTGGATGTTGAACTTTAAAATTCACTGAGTCCTGATAAGGCTTGAACCCACAACATCTGGACTCCCAGAGCATCTTGTACCTCCTGAGCCACAGAGACAGGTGCTTCTCTATGTTTCTTAGACCTTTTCAGTCTTTCCTTTGGACTCAGACTTTAAAAATTCACTGAGTCCTGATAAGTCTTGAACCCACGACCTCTGGACTCCTAGTCCATCCTCTACCTCCTGAGCCACAGAGAGAGATACCTGGAATAGTTTTAGAGATCTTTTCAGTCTTTCCTCTGGACTCAGACCTTTAAAAAACACTGAGTCCTGATAAGGCTTGAACCCACGACCTCTGGACTCCCAGCCAGTCCCCTTTGCCTCTGCGCTATTCAGACAGACACCTGTCATATGTCTTCAAGTGCTTTTCTCTCTTTCTTTTGGACAGTGGCCTTAAAAATCACTGGGTACAATTAAGGTTTGAACTCACAACCTCTGGATTCAAAGTCAGTCCTCCATCTCTCTGAGCTACAGAACATTCACTTGACAGCTTTAACGCTTTCAGTCCTTCCTTTGGACTCAGACTTTTAAAACTCATCTTCCTGAGTAAGAGAACCAATCTGCTCCAAAACAAGGATGGACTTCTGGATCCTCAGGCAGTCCTCTGACCTGAGCCGTAGAGCTGAACACTGAAGTGTATTTCCTATAGCTTTCCTTTTAGAAGCAAACATTCATGTACAACTTTCCTCAACAAGAATTGAACCCACAATCCCAAATCAAAAAGATTTTATGTTTTTTAAACTCCTTCTCTTCTTGTTTCAGGACCAGTTTGAATTCGCTCTGACGGCCGTGGCTGAGGAGGTCAATGCCATCCTCAAAGCTCTGCCCCAGTGAAACCAGTACGACCGTGACCGGCCTCCTGTCTGCACCCTTGACTATCCCATTAAGGCTCTTGTCTTGTCTCTTCTTTTCTCTTTATGGTGATGATGATGAAGATAATTATGATGAGGAACGATGTTGTACTTCACAATCTGCCCATCAAAAATTAAAAACAGGATGATTTCAGGTCAGGAAGGACTCACACATTTATCAGTCAGGTCCCGTAGTCACAAACATTCAGAGAATCCTCTCAGAGAGCTCCTAACTCAGCTTAGCCTAGGAGTGTTTCAGGAACAATCTCTTAGTTACTCTGAGCGAGAATTTGCGATTTGTTGATCCAAAAAAAAAGGAATCTAAAGTCAGACGTTGTGTAATTAAGAACATTATGAAATTAAGATCTGTGATCATTTGTAAGACGTACTAGTATAAAGCCAATAAAATGTTTGAATCACATGCCCACATGTGCAGCAGCCTCTTCACCTGATGATCGTTATATCATCAGGTGAAGAGCCTTAATTACTGGTGATTGGATGCACCTGTGGAGGTCACCACAGGTAGACATGTGGATTAAAATGTCTGCACCAATAATTTTTTTTTCTGTACCGCCCAACTCAAAAAGATTCTTCTTCATGTAGAGTTTGAAGAATGTTTCTTCAGTTTCTCCTCACCTTGAGAATAAGCATGATAAAAGTCCTCCCCAACAGTTTGACACCTCAGGAGCTAAAAACCTTTGTGAATAACGTTCATCTTTACACAGATCTAGTCTCAACTTTAAGGGGAAATTCTTAGAAAACGTCCTGATTCTAAGACTCTTCTTAGAATTTTGTCACTTGGACCAACTCTTTGTATTGAGGAGGCTTTGTGAATACAGCCCCTAATGTTTGAATGTGTTTGCGCTACAGTTATGTTGCGTTCAGGGACATTCAGATGGAAATAGTGTTATGTATTCAAAGCTAATTTGCATGAAGGTTAAACTAGGAAATAAACGACCTTTAGACTTAAAAGTTTTCTCTTTGGAGATGATTTTGGTTTATGTTCTTTGCAGTCATATTGTTTTTGTTTAGCACGTCGATTGTGCCTTTTTTCATAACCACTCAGCTTAGAGTCCCGTTTAAACCTGTAACATTTACAAATCTAGTATCAGTCATGAAAAAGACCGTCACTGCAAATATATTCTTACACTATTAATATTCACAAATACAACAGAAACGTGTACTTCATTAACAAAATACGTCAAGTTAATTTATTTTCTTCAGAATTTTTCTTAATTTGCTTAAAGAGATAACATACATGTAGCTCTTTCATAGCTTTTTCAGTTGGTTCAGCTTTTTAAATTAATGACCTGCCTCATAAATCAGAAACTTATTGATACTTGCCCACCACTTTTGCATTTGCTATCCCGTCTGACCGTCCTTGAATGCATCGTTGACTATTCAAACCTAAGATTTTACTTAAACTTGTGAAAGTCCAGTCAGACAACTTAAAAATGATTCTCTAATTTTACTCTTATTAAAACAGAATCCTAACATTTCCTCTAATATGTTGTCGTAGTTTGTCTAAATTGTGCTGCTGTTGGGACAGCCTGTGGGTTTTTTTTGTCTCCTTGAGGACACAAAATTATTTTAAAAACTACTCTAGAAAGGCCTAAATATTGGATTTACAAACATGAAAGTCCCTGGTAGAGTGATGAGATGTTGTGATTGTTTTCACTTCCTGCTCAGCTTGTTACTTCCTGTCCTCTCATCATCACACGAACAACACCTGAAAATACAAACATACGACGTGCGTCTCTGTGTGCCATTCAGATCATTTGACGTCCCTGGATGAATATATATTGTTGTAAACCTCATGCAAGTCAGAAAATGAATAAAAAAAAATCACTAAAAAAAATCAAGAAATGCTATTCTATTAAAAGAAGAAAAGCTATTTTGTATATGTGAGACCTTAAATAAATCTTTTCGTGTTTAAGTGCTGCAATCACTTGTGACTTCTGTGACTTTCTCTACTTTTAAACCTTTTTTTTTTTTTACTGTTAACAGGCAGCCAGTGGAATATTTCAGTCCATTACAAGAGATCATGATGTGACCTCTGACCTCATATCCAAACATGATTAAACTGAGAATTTACACAGCAGGAATAAATCAGCATGAAAGCCACCTGAGGTTGGATCCATGACTTTATAAATAACTTTTGTCACATTTCATTCTGTAATAATGAGTCTTACTTGTTGCTAAAGGTCAGGGGTCATCAGCTACATTTATCCATAGGTCAGCTCTTTTCTTGAGGTGCCACTTTAAAATATGCTTGCACATACACCTGACTGCTGTCAAGCCAGATATGAAGTTTGTCAGAAATGCAATTTCTTTCATTTACCTCATGTGAGTATTTTGGTTAAATCAGATGATTTGTAGGCCACCAGTTGATCATTGCTATAAGTTAATCTAGATATAGCTTCAGGAAAAACAAATAGTGTTCTGACTCAATTTCCTTTGATTTCAATTTAGCCCAACCCAGATAATAAAAAAGCACCAAGCTAAGTGTTAAAATTTTCCCAGTCTTCTGAAAAACATTTGCCAAGTCTCACTTATCGACTCAGTTATGATCTATAGAGTGTTTCAAGTAGTTGAAAAGCTTAAAAGCCTGCTGCTTCATCTTGGTGCTCAGGACACTTAACCTGCACATTAACACATACAATACAGGACAAAGAATGAATGTAGCATTTTATTGGTTGGCACAATTAAAAACCAGACAAGAAATTCATGTAGCTCACTGGAATGTGCACTTTAAGGAATGAGTCCAATATTACTTTGCAGCCACAGGAAACTTTGAGGAACAGGTGGACTGCTTAGTATGAACAGGACATTTTTGGACTTTGTTAGAACTAGCCAGCTACAGATGTTTCAGGAGCTCAGTACTCCTCTCCTTCATCCTCCTCTCCAACGCTGTCAGTGCCCACCTCTTCGTAATCCTTCTCCAGAGCAGCCATGTCCTCTCTGGCCTCTGAGAACTCCCCCTCCTCCATCCCCTCTCCAACGTACCAGTGGACGAAAGCCCTCTTGGCGTACATCAGGTCAAACTTGTGGTCAAGTCGAGCCCAGGCCTCTGCGATGGCAGTGGTGTTGCTCAGCATGCACACGGCCCTCTGCACCTTGGCCAGGTCTCCTCCAGGAACCACAGTGGGGGGCTGGTAGTTGATGCCCACCTTGAAGCCTGTGGGACACCAGTCCACAAACTGGATTGTGCGCCTGGTTTTGATTGTGGCGATGGCGGAGTTGACATCTTTGGGCACCACATCTCCACGGTACAGGAGGCAGCAGGCCATGTACTTTCCATGACGAGGGTCACACTTCACCATCTGATTGGCTGGCTCAAAGCAGGCGTTGGTGATGTCGGCCACTGAGAGCTGCTCATGATAGGCCTTCTCTGCTGAGATAACTGGGGCGTAGGTGGCCAGAGGGAAGTGGATACGAGGGTAGGGCACCAGGTTGGTCTGGAACTCCGTCAGGTCCACGTTCAGGGCTCCGTCAAACCGCAGGGAGGCTGTGATGGAGGAGACGATCTGTCCAATCAGCCTGTTGAGGTTGGTGTATGTGGGACGCTCGATGTCAAGATTCCTGCGACAGATGTCGTAGATGGCCTCATTGTCTACCATGAAGGCGCAGTCAGAGTGCTCCAGGGTGGTGTGGGTGGTCAGGATGGAGTTGTAGGGCTCCACCACAGCTGTGGACACCTGGGGGGCTGGGTAAACAGCAAACTCCAGCTTGGACTTTTTGCCATAGTCAACAGAGAGACGCTCCATCAGCAGAGAGGTGAAGCCAGAGCCGGTTCCTCCTCCAAAGGAGTGGAAGATGAGGAAACCTTGCAGCCCAGTGCACTGATCAGCCTGAAACATTATAGAGGGGTTTAAAATGTGGTTAAGATGGACATTAGTGTGCAGCAAACAAGTTTTATTGATTAACATGTCTCCCAAATCAAACAACTACAACATTATGAGAATTTAAGCTCACCAGTTTGCGTGTCCTGTCAAGAACAAGGTCAATGATCTCCTTTCCAACGGTGTAGTGACCACGTGCGTAGTTGTTGGCTGCGTCCTCCTTGCCAGTAATGAGCTGTTCGGGGTGGAAGAGCTGGCGGTAGGTTCCTGTGCGTACCTCATCTGATGGGAAATAAAAGTACAGGCTTACAATGAGGCTCAATTTTGTAAGCATACAAAAAAGTATTTCTTCTACACATTCTACATATTGCCAAAATAGTCCATGCAGTAATTTGCCTTTTTCAGTATAATCAGTTTCTTACCAATCACAGTTGGCTCCAGATCAACAAAGATGGCTCGAGGAACGTGTTTTCCAGCTCCAGTCTCACTGAAGAAGGTGTTGAAGGAGTCGTCTCCTCCTCCGATGGTCTTGTCACTTGGCATCTGACCGTCAGGCTGGATGCCGTGCTCCAGCAGTAGAGCTCCCAGCAAGCATTGCCCATCTGGGCTCCGGCCTGGCCGACATGCATAGAAATACACTCACGCTGAGGAGGGAAAGAAAGAAAATCAGTTATTATCTTTACCATTTATAAGATCTTAACATTAATGACTGAAAGTTTAAATAATATAAGTGATCTTGTTTTGTTCAGGCTTCAGAATACCACAAAGGTTCAAGAAAATATAGTCTACAGCTGTCTGAAAACTTGAGCAACAAAAATGTAGAATTCTAATGTTAAAAAGCAAAAAATATTGTACTGGTTTTTAATGTTCAACATCCTGATATGACAGTTCATAATTGTGACAGCCTCTGTTCAATTTATGCTCATGCTAAATAAGAATTTAATTATAATTAAATTCTTATTCAGCAGATATATATATATATATACTAAATGTTTCGTTTTAACAGAAAAGAGCTGAATAATGTAGATCGACGATTAACCCTGCCATTTTTATTCTGCTAAACCATCGACTTTTAAACTGCTCGCCAGTGGTGCAGCTTTAACGATCCCTAGCCTCAGGCGACATCTTTGTCTGCTTCAGTCATCTCTGCTGCTGCTGAGCAACATGGTGGCTTACTGCGGGGTTTTATCTGCCTTCAACTGAAAGAGTAACTAACCCCTTTTTTTCCAACAAGAAACCTCTGGATTTGAGTATTAAGTAGTGTTATGGATCAATTCAAGTCCGAATCTCGACATTTTAGTACAAATGTTGAAATATTGTTAGAAATGTGCCCTTCCGTTTGAAACGGTCGAATGTGGAGTGAATGCCTACGTCACCAGCGTGTGTGTGCGCGCATGAAACATTGTATCATTTTGCGGCTGATAACGGCGCGAATGAGAGTGGGCGAGTCCCCCCCCCCCTCGAAGTAGATACATTAACATTCTAAATGCATTTTTTTTTTAATTCCAGGGTCGATAAGTTCGACTGCGCAGCCGCAGCAGACGATCAGTGAAGACACAAACCGCCAAAAAGAGGGGCAGTTACAGGTTCCGCTCCCTGCCCCCACCCCACAGAACATCCCCACCTTTGTGTAACGTTCACGGACTGGGCGTTAGCTAATGGCGCCTCCCAACACTTCATACCCCCCCCTCCCCTTTCTCTTAAGTTTTTAGAATATGACTTTATATTGGAAAATGATTAAAATAATACAATCTTGAATTAACTGCCGCCTCTCCTGTGATCCGGGGGTTCACATTTGAAAAGCTTAACGGTCAGTTTTCAGCCATTTTGATTCAAACTGCGCCACTTTCACGCCGAATATAACACATCACACGACGGTAGTCAAACATGCAAGAACCGAAAATAAAAGTTAATTTAGAGTAACTACTCTGAGCATTTATTGTCGTTTTATATTTGCTTCAAAAATCTTTGAAAACCCCGATTTCCCCCGCTCAAGAGACAAAAGATGAACGCTGCTTAAACGCTGTGTTCGTTTAAAAGCGATCATCCGTTAAACACATTAAAGTAAACATGAGTATTTCTTCGATTATTTATGTAGTTTGTGGAATTTCTTACCATTTTGATTTAGTTTCTCCTTCCCGCCGACGTTGAAGAATCGGTTCTTGAAGGCAGCAATGAAAGCGGGTGGCGTGGTTGGGTGTATTTATACTTTTTCAAGAGGGTGGAGCTACAGCGACGGTTAGAGCGTCGTTTTGGCGGTAGTGGACGTTGTCTGCTGTTGCATTCAAATGCGGCTCGAAATATTCAGACTCCTGCACTTCTGCTGCGTCATCTGAAGGAACTTTGAATGAACAGTTATCCGTAAAATGCATCTCTTCTTTTATCAACCTTACATTGTGTGACTTTTTAATTATTGTATTACTTTTATACAATTAAGTCACATGTTTAAGATTAAGTAAACACACTTCTGACATCATGAAAGTACACTCTTGAGGCTTGTTTTGTCGTATACTGTTGTTTTATTGTTATTATATTATTATTATTATTATTTTAAATAAATGCAGCACAGTGTGTCAACACGTCTAAAAAAAATCAATCATTTGATCAAATTTTAAAAAATGACTTATTTATCTTTTTTTATTTATTATTTTATTATATATTTTTTTTTTTATTTATTATAAATAATATGTTTTCAATAAGGGTAATTTATTTTAAACAGCAACGCTTTAACGTTGTACTAGAATTTGCAGGGGGGAGAGTAAGTGTAGCCTAACTGTTGTTTTTTATTAGTTTTTAAAATAATATATTATTCAGACAAAAACCTATCCGTGCATTCTCTATTTTCCGTTATTTTCCGTTTAATAAATGCTCAGAATTCCCTAACAGTCGTTTAGAAAGTATCTGAGCTTCGAAAGGGCGAAATTAGGAACGGAGCCTGAAGGCATCACAGCTCAAATAAGGAATAGTGAGCTCTGCTGCATGAAGGCCCTCACTCCTGCACATACTGTCCCTTAAAGGATGACTATGTGAAATAAACAAAATAAAGGTAGGCCTATACAAGGGACATTTTTGTGCAAAAGCTATGAATAAAAATACTATCTTG